TCTTTAAGCGTGTGGATGCAGGTCCAATTATTAATATCCCAGATCTTAACTGTTTTATCCTTAGAGCCTGACGCCATATATTTGCTGTCATGTGAAAAGGCAGCTGAGCGGATATAGCTGTTATGGCCTTTAAGTGTGGAGATGCAGATCCAATTCTTGGTATCCCAGACCTTGATTATTGAAACTCCATAAACTGTTGCTATATATCTGCCGTCAGGTGAGAAGACAGCGAAGTTTACCAGAGAATTAAGGTCCCTGAGTGTGTGGATGCATTTCCAACTCTTGGTATCCCAGATCCTAACTGTATGATCATCAGAGCCTGACGCCATATATCTGCTGTCAGGCGAGAAGGCAACTGATCTGATCCAACCACTATGGTCTCTAAGTGTGTGGATGAGGTTCCAATCCTTGGTATTTGTGATCTTGACTCTGGTATCAAATGAACCTGACGCCATATATCTGTTATCATTTGAAAAGGTAATTGAGGGGATGGACCATAACCCCAAATTAAAAATTTTTTTGAAGCATGTCCAATTCTTGGTATCCCAGATGTCGACTGTCGCGAAATTACCACCTGACGCTAAATTTCTATTGTCATGCGAAAATGCGACTGAATGGACATTGCTGTTATAGCTTATAAGTGTGGAGATACAGATCCAGTCTTTGGGAAAGGCATTCCAGATCTTCACAGATTTGTCTCTTGAACCTGACGCCATATATTTACCTTCAGGTGAGAAGGAAACTGAGAAGACCCAATCATCATAGCCTTGAATTGTCTGCATGCACATCCAATCCTTAGTAGCCCAGATCTTGACTGTTTTATCACTAGAGCCTGATACCATATATCTGTTGCTATATGAAAAGGCAACTGAGAGGACAGGCCCATCGTGATTTTTAAGTGTATTGATGCAATTCCAGCTCTTGGTTTCCCAGATCTTGGCTGTCTTATCACCTGAACCTGTTGCTAGGTATTTCCCGTCATGTGAAAAGTCGACTGAGAAGACAGAGGCATTATGGCCTTCAAGTGTATGGATACAAGGCCAATCCTTGCAATTGGTATTCCAGATCTTGATTGTTTTATCTCTTGAACCTGATGCCATATATCTGTCATAGGATGTGAAAGCGGCTGAAAAAATCCAGCTGCTGTGCCCTTTAAGTGTATGGATGCAGGTCCAATCCTTAGTATCCCAGATCATAATGGTATTATCACCAGAACCTGAAGCAACATATCTGCCCCCATATAAGAAGTTGACTGAGAAGACTCTGTCATTATGGCCTTTAAGAGTATGGACGCAAGTCCAATTCCCATTGTCCCAAATCTTAATTATTTCACCAGAGCCTGACGCCAAATATCTGTTATCAGGTGAAAAGGTAAGTGATAGGACGGCTCCATTATGGTCTTTAAGTGTGTTGAAGCAGGTCCAAGTATTGGTGTCCCAGACCTTAACTATTTTATCTCCAGAACCTGATGCCATATATTTGCCGTCAGGTGAGAAAGAAATTATGTAGACCATGTCGTCGTGATCCCTAAATGTATGGACTGGGGAAGACTCAGAAGCCATTTTGTTAGACGTATTGTGTGACGGACCGGCCAATATAGATCGTGTTAATTAGGATATGTGAACTGGGAACAAGAGGAAAAGCACCCATAATTTAATAAATTTATTCAATGTGCGTAATAGAAGTAATTGCCAGTGGCGAAGATTGTGGGACACAGCTTGGGCCGCAAACGGACTGGGAGCATTTCGATTGACATTTTGCGTCATGCAAACGTACTGTCAGAGCCAGAGACTTAACTGAGATCCAAGGGCCCAATTGCTCAAGCAACTTAGAGCGGATATCATTCCGGAACCTCAGATTCGACCTTGCATCTTGCCATCGTTGCAGAGATGTCATCAGCTCTACAAACGCAAACTTCGACTGGTAAGCCTTCGAATTTTTTTTGGCCGCATTAAGGAACAATCACAGCAGTGAGCAGATAACTGAGATGGGTAGGTACCTAGAAATATGAGTAACTTAAAGATAACCTCAAGAAATTTCACCTCGCTGGTCTTCAAGGGCCTACCGCTCGTCCTTGAAAACTAGACACTAGGCCATGCAACGAACCATGGACTTATTCAGGAATGCTTTATCACAACGTCATATTTATCTCACTTAGTGTGTCATACATTTATTCAGAATGTTCTAGACTGACAGCTTGGCTGTGTGGTCGATCTTTCTAAGCCAACATACCAGAGAACATCCAACATCCTGCAATTTTTGATGCATATCCTTTGTATAGGCGTCATTGGGCTTTCGTAAAAGTAGTTCCTAGGTATCCAGATCTAATGTAAAGTTGGCCCACATTTATCCGTGCTCCTCTTCAGCACTATCACGCATAATAGACAGAATGTACACAGTAGATGTGCTCCGCCATTGCGAATGCAGCTCCTCTAAAGCCCTATTCATTTGGTACTTAAAGCTTGCAATTGCTGGCAGTTTTCGTCCCTTACTGCATTTTCTGTCTCCAGATCAACGACCTCTACACGTCGCAGCGCCAAAAAATGATAGTACTTTGGGACATAAGAGACACATTACCTTAGTCATGATATCAACTAATCCCTATGAAAGTATTTAGTGTCGAAAAGGCCTGCATTCTGCTTGCAAGTAGAATTTCACAAAGCGGAGAGACCAATTGGATGCATTGCTTTGCTTATGAAACAGAGCACTACTGCTATGATGTTATAGCAATGGAATAGTTCTTTTGTGTTTCGCGTATCTCAAATTGCCTCTGCATTCTCATGATGGTATGGGAAAGAAAAACCCCTAGTAAGCGAATGGGAAATAGAACCCATACAAAGGCAAGCTGTTAAGTCAATTAAAATTCACCAATGCTCTTCCTCAGCCTTTCATAATCAGGAAGGTCTGCGTTATTCAAATAAATTTAATCCATTTTAAAGAGCTTAAGTCGTTGCCACTTGCATAGGAGTTTGACTTGGTTACGTGTACAAGAAGGGCTTCATGAACCATCTTCACCTTGTTTGTCTTCGATTTTATCATCTTAGTAATTACCGGCTTCACCTTGGTCGTCTTGGATTTGGTTGGCTTTTTAGGGGACACGGTTGAGGAGGTTATCCGCAAGTTGCAATGCCATCGCCGCCAGAGTCAAGCTCGGATTGGCAGGTGGACTGACGGGGAAGATAGACAAGTCACAAACATAAAGATTATCGAAATTCCTTACCCGATATTCGTCGTCCACGACATACTTATCCTCTTTGTTTGATACACTGTCAGTATGTTTTTTGGGTCGTTGCAAGCGCATCGTCCCGACCTCGTGGGCTACTGCACCAAATGGGACAAGTGTCAACCGTAGGTCTGGGATACGGGTGATATCCAGAATTTTTCGGAATATACTTGACGCGATTTGCTGCATTTTGGAATGTCTAACGTCAATATCCGGGTTCGCGCGTCTAATGTAGACTACTGGAGTTTCGGCTGGGATATTATACACTTCGCTGCTATCGTCCAACTCGGCACAATACTGAAATGTGACATTCACAGTGTTGTTGTTGCATGAATTTTCAGGGTCTTCTTGTAGCTGCGCAGGAGGTCTATTGAGACGATGGCCTGTGGGATCATAGCATTGCGTGGGAGGTGAGTAAACAGTGGAAGAGCGGCCTAAGAAAGTGTTCGCGTTCACCGCTACGTTCAAAAGAACTTTTGAGTTCATCGAGTCATCGATAGTAATCTCACTTTGAAGCTTCAGTGGGTGGATCAGATTCTGGTTATGGTTCTTCTCTTTCACGAGGCGGACCCCCCAAATTTCATGGTCCGTTAGACCCTTGCCCACCAGCGGATTGAGTTTTTGTAGTTCACTGCGTAGTGCAATTCTGGCAGTGTCGAGAGTGCCAGCGCAAAGGATAATACCAAGCTTTGCGTGGATGCTCAGTTCTTTCCTGTTTGACGAATCGCGAACCGTCAGAGTGTCAACCGTGTAGGATCCGCCAGAGTTTTTGGGTGGCTGATAACTGAAAGAGAGCCCCTCGACGTTCGTGAGGATGGTCAGATTTGGGCTTCTGGCGTAAGACAGCTGCAGAAGTCGGTCGACAGTGCTGTATGCGCCTTGTGGGAAGTCGTACGGCTTCGAGGATGAAAACTGCGCTGCCATAGGTGCAGCTGAGACTTCGACACCGGTTCTGTCCCATTCTCCAAGCGCATCTTCAACAGCTTTTATAGCAGTCGCCATTTGTCCACCTGTCAGATCAATCGAAGGACTTTGTTCATCCTTCTTCCATTTTGGGTAAATCTGATCTGGATTTTTCTGGGAATCGTTCGTCAAAAGCTTGAAAGCTTCCTTATACCCCTTTTCATTAAGGTATTTTGAAATTTTTTCGGGAAAAAAATTTTGTGTTTGTTCAGGATTCTCCTGCGGAGAGAAGAGACCCCAGACATTGGATCGGCCGCCGAGGCAATAAACAGGGCCGCCGAGGAAAGGGTCAGAACCTGCCGCTGTGTGGACTTTCTGCTTAACCGCGTTGTAAACGACGTCGTTGTCTTGCGATGGACCCTGGACACTGCCCACCTGCCATGATGGGCGGGCAGTATTCAAACAATGTGTAGAGAAAGACAATCCACCCTTCTCGATGACAAGGACTTTTGGGGCCTTTCCGTCCTTGCCTTCGACTAGCTTTTGTGCTAGAACTCCGCCACCAAAGCCACTGCCGACGACAACATAGTCATAGTGGTTCTGTTTGCTAAGGTGAGCAACGAGCTCAACATCGTTAGTAAGATAAGCGTCCATTTTGTTCGAGTAATAATTAATCTTATGTCCCAATAATGACAGCGTGATAGTCAAGTGTCTTCGCGAATACTTTCCAATGGTCACATCGGTCAAGGGTTAGGTCTCCTTTATATCGGTTCCCAATATAGTCGAGAGAAGCGAAAGAAACGATTGTGGTTGTCATATTGACGTTAGCATTATATTTCATATACCGAAGACGGCATGTTCTCTGTTATGACGTCTACACTATCCATATGCTCGGAATGGGAATGGTATGCTGTGTAACAAAGAGTCAAGTAGATTTAGTCATTATGACATTTAACACTTTCTTGGGAAGACAACATACGAACGCGGAAAAGTACACTTAAGTGTTCTTGATTCCTCGACGCCCCCTACTGTTTTTACAAAAGTGGCGGTACCTGTATCGGGTAATTGAACTGGACTCACAGAAGAACAGTTCACTTCTGAACTAGTATAGGTAGCTGGACCTCGTTGGGTCGTGAATACTGTGCATATATCTTAGCTTATACAGGATGTAAACTCATAGATTTTGAATCTTATGGAATAAACAGAGTTGGCTTCCTGCATTCTCCCATGGGATACTGCTATTATCTACTTCAATACCATGGTTGAAATACAATGTATTGAATAGATATGCTACGGCAATACAATCACCCCATAAATATGTAATAATCTATATACGCTGCATCCTAGATAGAGTATTCTCATACAAAGATTTGCCATTGATGAAAACTCTAGTTCCACGATATAGCTATCGTTCCTTCAACCCTAAAGACCCCCGTTAAGTCGCATACATTTCTATATGAACCGCTATGTACGCGAAAGTTCTATACACCTGCGTGCCACGCTCAAGAATTCTCAGCAGTACATATAGTCTCCTGCACATACGGGGGGTTACTGGTAGCACTGCCCCAATCAGCACTTCTTAGAGCTTTCCCGGCATCAGTAGAATTATCCGATAAGATCTGAACTTGTAAGATTCACAATTACCTCGTTGGCAAGCTCTAACGCTCCAGAAACACTTACATAGTATTTCGTATTGACATAATGCCACCAATCGTTACTCCGGAATGCATTATCTGTTGACTGACTGATCGGGTCAACCCAACCGGTATTGCGGGTATCAAAGTGAGCATGCTTCGACCAAGAGATATAAACCTTGGGGTGATCATTATTACGGACTCCATTGGGGTCATTGGCGGCTCCAGACTGGATCTCCTCCGTGGTGAGCGTGTTTTGAATATCTCCCCAAGCTAGATTGTGATAGCCACTATGTGAGGAGAGTAGTGCTCGCGACGGCGCCCACATATTGTTGCCGTCCCGGGAGTGAATAATGATGACTCTTTCCCAATCACTATGACTGTTAAAGATTGTCTTGAATAATGGAGTAATTTCCAATACTCACTAATCATGGCCGGTGTCAATCACTCCGATTACTTTGGCACCGTCCTTCTCATAGAAGAGATTATATGCCACTCGTACCTCGGTATCACTACATTTTCGGAAGGTATAGTATATCGGAAAGTCAGGTGCTTTATTGTTAATGGCGACTCCCGGGTTGCGGCATTTGCATCCAACATCTGGATACTCACACTGTGCCGCTGCAGGGGTCTTGTGGCTGCTGTCGTACACATCGTTTGAAGTAGGAGAGCCTCCAAAGGCCCATGTTGGGTAGCAAGGGGGGTGATTAAGCGCCTGGCCAAAGAACCACATAGGTGCATAGCGGTCTGCAAGTTCCGCGCCTCCTTGATCAAGATACTTTTTCATCTGCGTATCAGTAATCTGAGTGACAGCCGCTGCCCCGCTGGCGACACAGAAAACAGCGAGAGCATACTTTTTCTGAAGCCACATCATGGAGTTTAGGCTGCAAAAGAAATTCTTCAATAATATGGTGTCCAGACTTACAAGGCATGCTAGGATTCGGTGGTCTCTTTTTTTATTGTATATCTACCAAGGGATGATCACCTTTTAAATGCCCGACTTGCAGCCGTAGTTTCCCACTGCCATCGCTATGCCGACAATGGAAGAGAAACCGATCAGAATTTGAAAAAGGTTACATCGAGAAATAAGCAAATCGGAGAATTTGCCTAGTGGTAGCCGGGGCAATCATTAATCGGGTGATTTCAACTAAAACTACTATATCCATAGTCAAGGCTATCATGTGGGTGGAAAGGATGGCTTGGATTGGTCAACTGACCACAGATGGGCGTGTCAGAAACCCAAGACGGTATGATTTCAAATAATTTGCAAATAGTCCCATGCACCGGTTCGATTTTACCCCGAATCTCACCTTGCGTCTCACGCGGCATATTGGGTGAGTAGTTCAATTAGTAAATTCAGCCTCAAGAGTGCCGGTCTACATAGCCATTGGTATAGTCACATTGTATTCTTGACTTTGCCTTCTTAACTAGTAGGTCTTATTATTACACCCCTTTTTATTTTTATTTTTTGTTTAGGTGGCGCAGACCAATGGGACTACACTGTCTGTCGTACAGCGCGGATTAGCGCTAATAGTATATTTGGACCTCATGTATGCTATTAGCTTTGTGTATGGATATAGCATATGATTAAATGTGCTGATGGCATATCTCATTTGTTCGTAGTTCAATCTTTATACTGATAAATGGTGGAATGTAAACGTCTAGGTCTATTTGCATACGTACAAAAGAAATACCCAGTGCAATCATGTCACTGGGGCCACGATCTTGATAATGGTCACCTGGGACTGGCAGTTCCACCAAGACATCAAATGCACGATTAATAAGTACTAGTCCACCCCATGCTCCAATTGATCATGATTGGTTCTATGGAGAGCTTAGTGATCACTGTGGATATAGCCCGTGGCTAAATTTGTCACTTCGTAGGTAGCCAGTGACTTTTATTCACTATAGTGTTGCTCGCGTGCCCCATTTGATCTCTTGATTTGGTCATGACTAGCCTGGAAACTTGGTCTACCATATATCTAAGTATGGAAGCCTCCGTAGTCTCCATAGAGCCTTTAGCTACGGGGTACTTTAGGTTCCGAGACCTAATAATTTAACCAGAAGTTGTCAAGGTTTTTCAATATCTTTTTCTGGTGCTCAGCTCCTGTTACTGCCTGTAGTATTAGGATAGCATATCATTCTTCTAGTTTCTAGTACAACAAATCTACGCACCTTTCATTATCCCTTTATCTAGAACAGCATCACCAATATATGTATGTATGACTTTGACCATAGTCACGGCCTATGATCCACTTCCTGTAGCAACTTGACCAATGCATCAAGATTTCGCTCTGCAGCGAAGGCCAGTGGTGTTTGATGCATATTATCCTGACAGTTTATATCAGCCCCCTTTTCAAGCAGCAGCTTTACCACTGCCTCATGACCTTGTTCTATGGCTAGGAATAACGGTGTCCGCCGCACATAATCTCGCGCCTCAATATTAGCACCCTTTTCCAACAGAAACTTTACCATTGCCTCATAGCCTCTTTCTATAGCTAAGAATAGCGGTGTCTGCTGTAACATGCCCATAGATTCTATATTTGCTCCCTTTTCTAAGAGCAACCTGACCGTTGCCTCATGGCCACGATCTGTGGCAAGGGCTAATGGTGTTCCCCTGTTCCTCTCTCGATGCTCTATAGTAGCTCCATTCGCCAGCAAAAGCCTTACTGTTGCTTCATGTCCTTTCAATGCAGCCCATGATAGTGGTGTATAGGATTCGTTGTCGTACGATTCTATATCTGCCCCCCTCTCTAGTAGTAATGCGACTATTGCCTCACGCCCTTCGCGTGCAGCGAAAGACAGCGGCGTTCTACCAGTTTGATCCCTGGACTCTATAGCAGCTCCATTATCGAGAAGTATTGCAGCAACTGCCTTATGGTCATTTTTTGAAGCAGCCCAAGACAGTGGTGTTTGGCCACGATGATCTTTGGGGTCCACCTCAACTCCCTTCTCAAGCAACAACTTCACAACCGCCTCGTGGCCAAATTGTGCAGCTCGTGATAAGGGTGACCGACGAAAATTATCCCTCGAGTCTGCATAAACTCTACCTGACCTAAGGAGCAGTTTGACAACATCCAAATGACCAGACGCTGCTGCATGTGAAAGGGGAGTTCGTCCATCCTCATCCTCCAAGTCTGGCTCAACATCGTTCCGGGCCAACAATAGCTGCACAATAGCCTCCTGTCCACATTCTGCTGCGCGGGATAGCGGTGTGTCGCCGTTGACATCTCGTCCGTTAGGGCGAACGTCACTTCGGGTTAGTAGCAACCAGAGCATCTCAGCATGTCCCTTTTCTGCAGCGTGCGACAGAAGCACCTGTCCTTTCCCATGTATTTTATTTGCATTTATCCAGTTGTTCTCAGTATCGCAACAGACTTGAAGGGGGTTGGCTAAAACCTGCAACTGGAGATTATCTATAGTTGTCACTGTATCTTGCGCCTTTCTGTCCTTCGCGATCTTACGTGTTGCTGGACGTCGTTGTTTGACACATATTCTTCTCAAGGGATATTGTGATGGCTTAAGATCTTCTAAAGCAAGATGAATGAACCTTCCGCAGTGAAGCCTCTGAAAATGCTGCATTGTCAAGAATACATCTTGCATGTGAATAGCAATCAATTTATTTTTGCCATTTGCATCACTCTCCGCACAATGGAGGATACCAAGCCCAAGACCAGGATGACCAACACCAATAAAACGTAGTTCCAAATGTATCCCTTTGCTGCTTATGGTCAACGGCCCATCGGCAGTCATGGAAGGGCTGTATGGGACAATGTTGGCAGAGTCCCTAAACGCATCTGGGGATGTTGCTAAGAGCCCACCATGACTATCTTCTTCGGAGTCCGATCTCCAAGCGAATATGCTGTGATCATCCAATATCTTCATGATCTCTTCTTGAAGTCTAATAAAGGCGTTCTTGCCCTCACCATAAATAGGCGGCATGTTGATCCCGAATATACCCATTAGACAATATGCTCGATCTTCGATTCTTGTTGTCTCCCTTCTCGCAGCCCATGACATCCTTTGAGCAACACTAGCAGTTTCGACATCATCCTCGCCCATCAGAATACCAGCAGGTATACTAGTGATCTTGGATAGAACATCTCGTAGACTCTCTCTGGTTCCCAACTCATTCCATTCATGATCGAGAAAAATAACCGTGGACGGAGCAATTAGCTCCTGAAGCGTCCATCCTCGGCTGAACCATCTACTCTCCGCGAAAGGCTTTGACGGCACATCCGCAAGATATGCATAGCACACTTCGGCTTCCTGATACCACCGATACATAGAATTAAGCGACTCAGACAGCTCCGCACTGCTTGTCTTATCAATGCAACACGTATCTATCCAGGCGTATCCATAACCATCCGCCCTAGCGAACGTACAACAATCTTTGACCTTTTTGAACCCCTTCTTATCGATCACGCCATTCGTTATATCCTGAAACGTGACCTCCATCTCATGCCATGTATGCGAGAGAATAGCATACGGCGGGGGTTCACCAAAGAATTCCTCAATGATGAAGTTGCCCGTATCGGACGGCGTCGTATTTAGCAGACGCATGGCGTACGACTAAGAAACACCTTTCCCTGTCCCGCTTTCGGGGCAGACTTAGAAGCAGGGTATAATAGGAGTTCTAAGCATGGAACTCCACGGCTGGGGGCTTTCGTATTTTTAGACCACGAGGGATTCTCGGTGACTTCGATAATGGCCCCCATTGCCTTTGGTGGGGCTTGCTGGTGAGGCCTTTCTTGACTCGTTGGGGCTATATCTGCATCCCTAATTGGGCGTCTTGCACTCGGGCGCTTACAGCCCGGCGCCATTGGGTCGCCATATGCAGGGGGTTGTGCTGACCCGAAGAGGGCATGGATCATGGTATGTAATGGTATGATAATGAAAGATCATATCCTCTAGTATAGCACTAAATGGAAAATTGCTAATATAAGAAAGTCTATGACATGTAGGAGTCGTTATGGCCGGTCAAGATAAGTTATATCGTAGTTGCCAATGGAGAGGTAAAAATGTGGTGGTATGTGCAGAACATTGTGTTGACCTAGTATGGTCATACGGTCGTCTGCTAACTGCTTAAGCTTAGCCCTACCCATTGATCAAACCTTCTCAAGTAGATCTCAATGAATGCATAGCGATTTCCAACACCAAGCAACAGGCACAAATATAATAGATGACGATGGCCATGGCACAAGAGCATCATAAATTACATTTACATCGCAATGACATCATCCGCGATTCCCAGCTTTTTGGTGGCGTACACAACCATCTCGACCCGGCTAGAGTCAAGGAAGATATATATATGGACACTGGTGTGAGCAAGTGTAGCTCGAGTAGATTCATTGAGTTTTAGCTTGATTTTATGTTAAAGCCACCTGCAGCTTGTGTTCCCGCAATCCGCCGACCTTTCCTGGCCTCTATCATTCACGCCAGCAGCAAAGAACTCTGGGCTCTCTTTCGAGAACCACCAATCACTCTGTCTCAGAATATCGCAAACTCAGTGATAGTACCCCAAGAATGGCGGAAGATGTACCGACAGGAGGGGACCCCCTTCCCAACCCCATCTCCGGTACTACCAACGAAGCAAGCTGGAAGCATCGTCCGCCATACAAGATCCAAACAGACGAAGAATTCGGTCCTGTGAAATGGACCGGCAGGTGCCAATGCGGGCAGGTAGAATACAAGTTGAATCGAGAGAAGCCATTGAAATCGAAGTACTGTCATTGTCGGGGGTGTCAAGTATTACATGGTACGTGACTGAACAGAACAAGAGTGCTGTATTATTCGTCCGCGAGATATCTGGAGCACTCAACAGGAAGGTACTAACGAAATTAAATAGGTGCCCCATTCCAGTGGGCCACTATATTTCAAAAGTCCGACATAACTTTCACCAAAGGTGCTGATGGCCTGGCGTTCTACTCATCTACGGAGAAGTCGAGAGAGTATATGAACCCGACGAAAGTGTCGTGTTCGTTCTGTCGGACCCCGATTATGGATGAGGGACGCAATGTTTGTCTTCTGTTCCCTGCGTCTATTGACTATGGCGAGACACATGAGGAGAGAGAGAAGTGGATCAATGCATTCGAAGTAGAGTCAGTTTGCAACATTCTTTGCCTTGGTTCGGATTGGTTTTATGTTAACCATGTTTGCAGGTGCCATATTTTCTACAGCCGACGGGCAGTTAAGATCCCAGATGGAAAGCCAAAATGGTCCGAGCTGGATGGCAGTAGCGAGCTCTTGGATGATTCGGGTAATCCCAAGAAGGGTAAATCATGAGGTTCCATATATAGACACTCGGTGCTCCGCAGATTGATTAAAATAGAAAGAAAATTCAGATTTCACGCACCTAAAAGACTGTCCAGCGTACAAGTAGTGGCATGCAGCATAAGCAGCAATGTTGGCTTCGCTTACTCCATGTTCCTCTAGTGTACATCCTAATCCCGGATAAGTACTGTCTTCTACACTACCCGACATGGTTGCATAGACTAGTTAGCACTACTCCACATCAAGCTAGAGACCTATCCAAGTGCTTTGGAGTTCTCGTGACTGTCACCCCGCTTTCCATTCCATTTTGATTTTCACGTTTTCTGGCAGCCTTACGCTCAGGGGTATCCATGGATCTACATCTACTCATATAGTATTAAGACTATATCGCTAAGAAATACACAGCATTGATACTTTTGATACTCCTCTTTTCAGTGTCGTTTCCAAAACAAAGAATCCGTATCAAAATGGGTCCTCAGCTGTTTCTGTTCGTGGGATTGTTCCTACAACTGCTCTCTGCGCACCAGCTACATCCACGCGACAACCCTGCCTGCGAGTTCTCGGTAGCCGCCTCCTACGCTGGAGAAACTTGCGACACTTTCACGAGGAGGTGGCATATTGATCGTGCCACATTTCTATCGTTAAATCCTGATGCCGACTGTTCCGCCCTTACCGACGATCGCACCTTCTGTGTGAAGGAAAAGCGCCCGTCGATCTCGGCTTCCTCTCTGGCCACGATATCAACCACAACCGCCTCTCCAACGATAGGGTCCACAACCACGGACAGCTCCACAGCGACATCATCCACAGCCACCGACAACTCTACAGTGATATCGTCCACAGCTACTGGCAGCTCTACAGCGACAAGGAAATCCACGACTCCTACAGCTAGCTCTGAGTCTACCGCTTCAGCTGCTACCATTCCCCTGCAAATAACAATGATTGTTACACTATTGTTATCTGTCTGCTTTACTTGATCGAGTTTTATTGAAAGGCACGTCAATACAACTTGATACATGTACCACAACTGCGGCTCTCCGAGCCGATAAGCTTTGTACATCGGGCCTGAATGGTATTTTTGCATGGATGACAAAACCCTGAAGCGCTTGCTATTCCGTCGTTTGCTTGCAAAGTGACCTTTCTGTTTGTAACATAATCTGTATTCTGGTAATTCCATATGAAATGGCTCTTTTCATCACCTGGATATCCCAAAGATAGGGTTGTGACATCGAAATAATTACCGCTAGACCACAAAAACCGTGAACACGCAGATCCCAGGAGTCTAGACAGTACAGTTCCGTACATTTCCTGGTTGAACATGTGAATGAACGCCCGTCAGAAATTGGCGCGGCAAGCAGTTAATCTCCGTCCTTTGTTACATTGGGGGCGGTAGTCGTCATGCCGCCAGCGATATAAAGAAAGTCGTGACCGAGAAGGAAGAACTAAGAAAGTCTGTCCAACGCAACGTCCGGGCTGACAGGAGTTAAAAGCGTCGGGGATCCTTCAATATTGCCGCCCCACTTGTTTCATCCAACCACCGGAGGGGCCATAACCGCCGTCCTGAAACACGATAGACAGTTCTCTTCCCCTGTCTTGGCAAGGTGTTCTCCAGCCCAGCCTGGGCAAAACCACCCTCGTCATTTCGCTTCTGGATGGTCGATAAAAATAAGCACTGCGCATCGACCAGAGCAAACCATGCACCTGTCGCGCGCACTAGTTCTTTGGAAGGCTGAAATGATTGACCCTCCACTGCAGGGATCAACGCCTTCCAAGAGCTCTGCGAGTGCAAGGTGAACAAATAAAAGAAGAGAACGAGCCCGATGGGCAAAGAAGCAACCGCCAGCTTTCTCCATTGGCGAACCCACCGGGCGCATCCATCCTTGGATTGCCACAGAAATAAACTGTACGCAAAGCGATAATTCGGCGGCACTTCCCGGGGCTGATTTCATTTATTTCCCTTTTCCCATATCTGGTGGAGGTTCCCCTTCCCCACTTGCTCCTCCTCCTTCGTTCATTTCTCGCGCATCCTCCTCTTTCGCTTAGCTTCATTCTTGCCATCTTTAATCTTTCTCTGACTGCAAAACCCTCTCCCTCCCCCCCCCTGATTTCCGACATTCTCACTTTAATTCGAGCCTTTCGTGTTTCATCAATGCATTTGTCCTTCATACTCTCATCATGGGGTTTTTAAGCCGTTTTCGCAAGCGTTCGAAAAGTCATAGCCGTGCGGGGAATGCGGTCAGCTATGAGCATCTCCGCACTAACCATGAACCTGTGCCTCCATTGCCCATCATGGGCACAGATTACACCAAGAGGCTACCGCGACGTGTTTTAATCCGCATTTTCTCCTTCGTGTGCCCCCACGCCGAAGATAACAGCTATGATACCTCGGAGGAATCCATGACCGAGGATGGCTGTATGCTTTGTGACATGCGTGACCTCGCGCACTGCGCGTTGGTGTGCAAGCGATGGTCCATGGATGCGGACGCTCTACTGTAGGGATTAAAGTCTTCAACCTATTTTCCCTCGTCCCCTGGCTAACCGGGCATCTCAATTTTTAGATACTCCAATGTCCGCATCGACGCCGTCCACTACTGTGAGCTCGAGGTTCAGTTATCCGCGAAACGGAAACGCCGCTCCTTCTTCGACAAGAATGGCGACCCTGAAGACGCCCCCCAGGCTCGCCTCTCGCTCTTCATGCGAACCGTTCGACAATCACATGGCTTAGGGAGTATGGTCCGCTCTTTGCGCATGCCGTACATGACGCGCGAGGCGAGCAAATCGGAGATTGCACGAACAGTTTCCGTGTTGCCCAATCTCCGCTACGTGGATTTGCCCGCTGGATTCTTCAGTGACGACCCCGCGTGCCTCGCCCTGAAGCAGGAAATTATGGCCCGCTGTCCAGATCTTCGCCGCATGAATTACCGACATGGGTCGGAGGGTACCTTCTCGCAGTTGCCGGGCACACACCTTTGGGCCAATCTGGAAATACTGGAATTGTCGGGACTGCAAGTCGAGCCTCATATTCTCCGATTTGGCCTGGGCGCGTTTCGCAGGCTTCGTGACTTAACTTTGGACGATCTTCCCTGGCTCGATGATTCCGCCTTCGCACACTCCCAAAGCTTTCCCCCGTTCCCCGCTGTTGAACGGCTTACCCTTCGAGATACCCCGAATGTTACGGCAAGCGGGCTTGCCGCATTCTTCTCCCTACCTGAAAACCGAGCCTCTTTGCAATCATTGACCCTGTCAAATACCCAAGTTCAACCCTCGACTCTCCACCAAATTGTCTCTGTCGCACCAGAGCTCCGCGCGCTATCGGTCATCCAGGAAGTTTCACGATCATTCCCTCCGGAGAAGGTGCCACCGCTCACCTCCCGGTCACTGGAACTGTTGCACTACGAGATATCTTCTCCACCCGGCTCTTACGGTATGCCGCCGATGGCAAGCTCTTATTATTCGTACCTGATATCATCCTTGATGTCCAATTCTCTTCCTGCTCTTCGGGATCTCTATGTCCGTGACGCAGGATTTCCAGAGGCATTATTGCTTGCCCCTCCACCCCGCTTGTTCGGTGGTGGTGAGAGTGGGCCCCAATTCGGGGGAGGTATCCTCGCACAGCCGTTGAACGTGTACAGCAAGGGCTTAGACGAATTGGAGTGGAACTTTACTCCTTATGAACCACCTTCAACCCGAGGCCGTCGCGATAGTACGACACGGCCGGTGAGCTTTCACGACGCTCAATTGAGTCGTTCATGGGGTGGCGACGCAAGGAAGAGCGTGCTGGTCGGCAATGGCTTTGGCGGGTTCCTGGCTGTTCCGGTGGACGATGGGCGTCCTAAGAGTAGTGGTGGCTGGAGGCGTGAGAGCAGAGGTGATTTGTGGCGGTGATCGAGTTATGAAATCTTCCTAATTTAACTGTTTTGACCGCGAGACTATGTGATGGAATATGGGATAATGTTATAATGAGTCTATACCCTGGTGCAGGTATTCAGCGCGGTAGCATTCTCTTACATTTTCTGTGTCCTAGCCTTTCTCGCAACTTGATATGAGCGTGCTTGATCTGTATACGACATCGCCTATGTACTCGGGTTGTTGATGAGCGTACTAATGTTTTTATTTCAAGACTAACAGAAGCAGCTACCATTCTATTCAAGTGGGAGAATGAGTGACTCTGTTCCATATTTTTCTTTGTCTTATGGGATGTTTTGGTTTTCTTCCCCTCGCACTGCATGCTGTCAGCCTCCTTTTGCCTTTTCACACCTTCCTAGACCATACGCATCGTTCGCTCCTTGCTCTTTAGTCATGTCCTATATATCAGTGTTTTATCATATGTGGCATTCTAAAGACCAAATATGCACTTCTGCATACTTACCTACTATATCTAATATTTCTTTGTATTTGACTAGAAACCTGTGTGACCCTTAGCTTATTACTTTCCAACAAGCGTTGCAAATTCTAGCTATCTAACCTTATTATTGACCGATTATCCTTCTGTCTCTGCTGCAAGCCTAGTGCAAAATGGATACAGTCGACTTGGAACCACAAGAACCGACTGGCCAAGAAGAGAGGAGCGCCCCGTCAACGGTGCCGAAGGAAGACCTTTACTTGAATCGATCCTATCGTAAAAACGTGATGATCGATTCAATATCAAAGTGAGTCAGAGACCTGAGCCTGGTATGGTTCGCCTACTGATGAGGAATGCATGAGGCTTCTGTTGGATTACCAGTACAGTGACTTCACTATTATCTGCGGTAACCAAAGCTTTCCAGCTCACAAGGCAGTGGTCTGTCCTCAGTCCAGATTCTTCACGAAGGTACTGAACGGCTTCGTGGTTCGTGTTCTTATATCCTACGCATCGAATGTCATGGCTAATACCGCAAAGGAAGCTCGATCCAACACAATCAACCTTCCAGACCATCCTCTTGCTGTGCGAATGATGCTAGAATTTCTTTACAAGTCTGATTACGGTTTTCATATGGAGTATAACTTCCCCAGCTCGGACTTTTCGGAAGGTATAGGTCCACCCGAGGATGCGATCGGTATGCTCTCCTAGATCGATAGTATAGAGGTTGTACTGAAATCATCGTTTGCAAGATCGTCTCACCTGCTGTGAACTGTCTCTTCATCTGAAAGTCCATCTTTTAGCAAGCCGTCTTCTCATGAAATCACTTGAGTATGTTTCCGTTAAAAAGCTTTTGCAAGCTCTGCATCGCGCCTCGTTTTTCACCGTATTCCCCCGTATTATTAGGAAGGTGTATGCGACTACTACAGCCCATCATCAGCTCGTACGGGAGAATGTCGTCTTGTTCGCTGTTAAGGTACTCCGCGGCAACGTCCAGCGGCAGGACCTTGGCTATACCTTTCCAAAAGACATACTGGATGAGGGTACCGGACTTCGCACGCGACTTGATGGAACAATGTATTGACTACTTCCTGAAACGACAAATAACGAAGGATTGGCTGAGATATGAACATCGGTTTTGACAACGGTGACAATAACGCAAGAGCAGCCATTCATTTGAGCGAGTTACTTATTCTTTAGTATTTAGTCATCCTTTAATGTGGCTTTTCTTTAGTACACTCCAGTCGTAGCCACATAGGCACAGCCATAGAATCACTATGGACTGCCGCTATGATACATTTCTCATGTCCTATTCCCTTCCGCCGTGACAAAGCTTGTAGTGACCCATGCGACTCGTGGGTCCTCGCAACTAGCATGTTGTTTACATTCAGCCGTGGCCTGTGAGAATCACTCCACCAGCGATCAGCATGATTCTCCCACCACCAGAGCAGCAATATCATGACTCTGCAACTCCACGTTATATTGATCCTTCACACAACCCAGATCTTCACCCGTCCAAATGTCAGTTACCAGATATCCACTGCCCTTCTCAGCGGAGTCCCTCAGCTCCGGGATCTCGCTCCACACGGCAGTCCGGCTTTTGGCACTGTCTTCCGAGTTGAACATCAAGACCAGGGTTCCGCCCAGAGTCGACGATGGCCCGGACCAATATTCCGCTGGATGCGCTGGATCGAATGTCCAGTCCGGGTTGTATCCCCATTTGTAAGGATACGCAGGGCGACCGATTACCGGATCTTGATGGAAGGACAGCAAGGGCTTATTCTTGAGGATGGCAAGATGCTCCTCTTTGATCGAATCGAGCTGCTTCAATTAGCCAGACTTCACTTACCGAGCTAGGTGGGGGCGTACAGGAGTGCCAATGATAAGAGGCGATTTCATTGCTGCCCAGAGAGCAAAATGGGCTCTGTTCTCTTCCAGAGTCAAATTTCCATTGCCGACTTCCAGCATGTCCGGATCTGGGTGCCCCCAGAAATCGGCATAGTTCATGAGGAAGGAGTTCTCGTTGGCAATCTCGACAATCCGGCTCCAGTCGGCTGCTCAAGTCAGTGATGGTCTTGGTAGGTCCCAGATAATATCAACGCACGTGTAATATCCCCCGTCGTTCTCCAAGAGTTGCCCGTCGCGTTACCCCATGTGTTCACGTCCGCCTGGCCCCAGTCGCACAACGAATAGAGAATGGTCCGATTGACACCCAGCAATGCATCGCGCATAGCGTCGTATCTTTGAGCTGTTTTGGAACTGCTCCAATTGTATTCCGCCGGTGCTGGGTTGGATATATCCGGACAAGTGCCGTTGGGGAAGTTGGCCCCATTGGTGTTGTCTGGCACACAGTGGGTATACGTGTCGGTCCAGTTCGTAGGTACGCCGCAGTTATCGTATTTCAGATCTTTTTCAGTTGAGTTAGTTATCTGATGGTTGGAGCAGCAGCGAACTTCCATACAGTCGATGCCCCATTCGGCAAAGCTCTCCGCGTCTATTTTCTCATATCCCAGACTAGCAGGATAGCCAGCGCAGGTTTCCGTGCCGGCACCTGTTTTCTTTAGCTTCATTCCAACCTGATGGTAGTACCCCGTCACTTACTGCTATAAATGCCGACCTTCAGACCCATATCATGGATCTTAGAGGCGACACCTGCGATTCCATCCGGAAATTTGGCTGTGTCCGGAATGATACGTTTTGTATCGGGATCTCGGCCAGTTTTGACTGACCAGCAATCATCGACTACAGGGGTTAGCATCTATAGAGCAGGTTGCAGTTGACCTACTGTTGATGTATTCATAACCTGCATCTTTTAAGCCCAGATTTATTGTTTCTTCTGCAGCCGTCAGGATCTTGGACGCATCGACGTCGCATGCAAACGCATTCCAGGAGTTCCAACCCAAGGCGGGCAGTCTCCCCTATGCATCGTATCAGTTACTGCTAGCCCCAACGCAGAGGTCAAACGTACCACGCCATCAGGCCGGACCAGAGCATCGGCCCCGGAAAGCAACGACAGCGACACGGCTAACAAAATGTAACGCTGCATTGGACTTTAGTTATCCGCGAAAGTGGGACGAGTAAGGCTGGATGGAGCTGAATTGCACAGTCTGCAGAGATATGCACGGTACTTATATACCCCACAAGCGGGGGAAGCCATCTCTGTCAATTTCAGAATATAGGAATAAAAACATCCACATCTGGCTATCTCCCCGCAGATCATGCATTCCGGAGAAACAGGAGACCGAGCGGCTATCCATCATGACTTTTGCCTATGGAGACGATATTGGATAGACGTGGTGTACTCCAGATTCCTCCGCAAATGGGGTAGTCTCCGTGTCGGAAACAGGATAGCGCCGGGGTAAGCATGCGGAGCAACATCGCCAGCTTGTCTACACATACATCCTCCCAGGCATAATGCCAACTGCTGACAAGATTATTCAGATCCATAGATACTCCTGAAGTACCGCTCAAACGTCATCGTCTTCATATCAGGGAACAAATCATTATGCACCTGCCCTGGCGGCCTCCAAAATCCGCCTAATCCTTGCATTCCTTTCACCACAATCCAGAAGTCATCAGGAAACACACTCTTCGCCTTGAGATGCTCTGGGACCTCTTCCTTGTTCTGAAAAACACGATGCATAACCTGTATTGGCACTATACTCTTCTCCACCTTCCTGCGGGAGTATTTCTCCCATAGTGCCGCAATCTCGTTATAGCTGATATGGTCGCTAACGAAATTCAGCTCTTTGTTCTCTGAGACTTCCGGATGATCTATGGGTTGGACCAGGAAGTTGGCTAGATCACCCATATGCATGAAGTAAACCTTGGCGTCAGGGTTGCCCAGGATATGAATCGTGTACGATGGAAGATCGGTCTGCGTCCACGGACACCAGAGCGCTTCGCGGCCTTGATTGTAGAGGTCTCCGCAACCGATGAGGGTGTACGTCATTTTTCCTGCTACTATAGCTGGATGGCGGAGCACTTTCCTATTGGCCTTGGACTTCATATCCCATGCCTATAAAATAGGTCAATCTACTAACCAACCAGCAGCCACGACCGAAACCGCTCCTAGAGCAGGTAAAATAGAGAGTACTCACCGGGTGCACATATCCATACCCATCTTCCCCCGTGTAAACATGATGCATCCCATACTCGCTCGGATAAAATCTCTTCACCCCGACCTTTTCCGCAGCAGTCTGGACCTTCTCTTGAGCAGAGAGAGCTTTCCCATTCACTGCACTAACAACCACTTCCACGCCGTTCAGAATAGAAGCCAGCTCATCTGTACCAGCGACTAAGAGATCCACGGGCACCGTTCGGAGTCTTTGCTTCTGCTCTGCAGATATATTTATAGACTTTGCCTTAGATTCGGAAGCCGGTCGAACGAGCTGAACTACCTCATGGGAAGTCGTGGTAAGAAGAGCCATGAGGATGCAATGGCCCACCTGACCCTTGGAGCCGAGAAGCGCAATTTTTGTCATATTTATGATACTATATCCTTTTGTCTTGCAGCGCTGCTAAAGCTGAGCTGCTATTTTGGCTCTGAGATGAATCTTGACAGGAAAGTCACCCCATTCGATTATTTAAAAATGCCGGGACCCTTAAAGTACCCTTATAAAATCTATTATAGTGCTATCTCTAGTTGACAATCTTTTGCCCATCAGTTGGATTCATGTGGCTGCATCATTGATAACGTCATCATGTAGCCCTAAAGCTCGATTCCATGTACCATGCGTTAAACCCTGGTTCAAACTGCGCCTCCATTTCTCCTACCCTATCAGGTAGTTCCCTGGATCTGCTATCGATATCTTGTCGAATTCTTCATGGTGATATAGAACATCTATCTTTGGAAGTCTGAGCAAGACATAGATATGCGTTTATCAACCTACAATACCATCAAACCCAGAAGTATCCCAAACAGAATTCCTCAGTAAACTCATGCTCCACAGACAGTCACAACAGTACTTACAACCATGCTATTCTTTTTTTTTAATAGAATAGGCCCCCAATATGGCGATCGCAGACATCCTATTTGAAGCACGATCCACACAATACCAATATACAACACTAGATAATAGATCGATACCAATTGATATGGCAATCGCAATCGAATTATCATGGCCTGTTAATCTTAGAATAATGTACTAGGCCATGGACATAGCGTACAGTGTCCTATATAGGTGCATCGAGCTCAATCGGTAGAATGGTTGTGTTGGCTCAGTTGCTAATCCTTTCTGCAATCTATTTAACATTACTCCTGCCTCCTTCCATTTCTGACGGTACGATAGGGGTATTTTCTGAGCTCATAATCTGCATCACTCTCATGGTCTGTCTTCTTCTCCACGACGAAGCCATCGTCAAGTTTGTCTGTTATGTTGCTGTTGCAAAGCATCACTATTGTCTCCTCTTGTTTGTGAGTGTACAGTTATTCACTGGTAGAGGACTGATCTGGTCTGCTACCACTGTTAGATGGGCCTAATCCAGTTTCTGCATGGCCATTCCCCGGAATTATTTTTCAATAGTCCAAGTAGTATACGCCGCTCTGCCAGCAGGAAACGTTGAAGAAATAGGAAAATGATTCGATCCTTGCTGAGTTGCGCTTGAGTTCAACCAAATTGGCGGCATTGGCAGTGCCGTAATGAAGTGGGCCCCAACATGGTCCATGAAGTCTGATATAAATCCTAAGCAATCCCCTTGCTGTGGAGTCTGTCTTGTGGAGTCGGCTTTCATATGTCGGCATAGGAATTACTGCACCGGGGTGAGGCAATAAGACTAAACGTCCTTGCGAAAGAGGTTGGCTCCTTACCCCCGAGTTCCCGTTGCTCATTCAGCAAACGGAATAAGTTGCGGTTTAGGCTCCGCAACGCCTGGAGACACGGATGCCTCTGGCTCAGCTTATCGGGTCTGCGGTACTGTGAGTTCGATCCTCACCTGGGACGCCATGTAAGGAATCTACCAGTTCGCACCGCACCGATTAGTTCTGGTGGGATACTTATCTAATTGCTTATCTATATCGGTCCGATCTGGTCGATTCCTTACAGTACGCATCCTCAATACGCTTGGACAGAGCCTCCGTAGCTTCAATCTCAGAGCAGGACCTGCACCCCCAGGCTCGCACACCAATAGTCTAGGAAAGCCTTCGATGAACGCTTCAAACAGCTCCTTGGCGCAACGAGCATAGGGCACCTAAAGACCGTCAGCTTTATACAGGCAGTGTCCTTCCGGGGGCGAAAAGGTTAGACTTACCGGGTAGAACTGGGAGGCACCACAGAATCTCCTTCGGGGGGGCAGTGGATCCTGATGCCGCCAAACCTCTTAAACCACGATCTTTCCTGATAGGAAGGACACTTACCTGAACTAGATCCACATATTGGCCTAGAGCAGGTCTGAGGGCCATGTATTGCTAAACGCCTTGTCCTTGACCTCTTGTCCATGCATATGCACTTCCGTTGGCACTGAATCACGTAAATCTTTTCCCATTTGTGAAGGATGCTTGCTAGTGCATAACAACCATCCTCTCTCAGAAAAACCCAAACAACCGATCCGGTGTCCTACAAATGGACTAGATGGATTCGTCCTCTTCGAAGGTTATGTAAAGACTAGATGCCGGGCTTGGGGGTGACCAGCTGTCTTCGGTGACTGTGATTTTCTGTTACAGACCACCCCCTTGCTTGCAGCCGCACGAGTATTGCTGGCCAGCATCGCCATGGGCGGATATGTTGGCTCGATTAATTGGGAACTTTGTCTTTGTTGAATGTCTGGAATTAAGTCAACAGCGTGATCCTTGGTTATGCGCATATCTGTCGTGCACCTCCGGAAAGATGTCCATGTTGGTTATCCATCTTTCGAAGAGTGTTCGACGATATGAACAAAAAATCCATACTTATGTCTGCATGGATTGTAGAATATAGTAATGGCCCCGCGGCCGCAGCATTGCTTGCATAACACCGAGGAAGCACCGTCAAATTTACAGCCAATCGTAAACATTTCGCCCTCGTCGCGATCATCGTTCTTAACGGCGGTCCTCAAACAATGCAGACACCACAGGACCTTGGGAACGACTGGCCCTCCGATGACTTTGACACGAGGAGGCATGCAAATTCTGCGGTTGGGAGTAGATTTGGCCAACTTTTTTGTTCTTCATTGGTAAAACACCTGAGATAATGTTCCAAGGTTTTGGTTCATACGTTCCGTTTTGACCATCGGTTTGTGGCTGAAACGCTTCCCACAGAGTTGGAGGCCTCCTCACCCCCACAGACAATCTGCTCATACTGTGCATAATCTGCTGTCCCGCTGCGAAGAGGGCACTACTCAGGATATCTGCTCGCTCGCGTACTGCCTGGAGGAGAGTCTTAATGACCTGCTGGCGTAGTTGATTCAGATAGCCCCTTGTAAAGGTTTTCGACATATTTGCTGATGCAAATTGCCACCTTTCAAATTAGGCCCACTCTTTCTTCCGGAATGCAATCCTAAAATATGTCCAGTCATAGGATTGAACGTTGCATGTCGACATTTATAGAAGTAGCGAGCACTGGCTTAGGGCCACGGCGTTGGTTCGGTTTCGCACGAAGGCGACGTGTGACGCCAGTGTTGGTCTCGGATCAATGTAAACCACCACTTCGATATGGGCTTCTTGCAGTTAATAGATGGCGCCTGAAGGTTATTCCTGAGCAGGCTCTTGCTCCCCTCATGCCCCTGAACTAATCATCAGGTGGACACGAAGAGTGGATCGAAGGTGCCCCATTCAACAGAAGCTGAGCTTCAAGAAGGATGGAATGCCTCGTAGTATTGTTGTGGGAGCTCACGTCGAGGGCAATAAATCCCTGTAGACCTGCTATCTGTAGCGCACGGTGATCCAGACAGATCTTGTAAAAGGATGCACGCTTATCCGGGACCCTTTGTGGACAGTCGGTCTGCATCTGATTGAAGCCCATGAGGGCTTTCCTCTATATTGTCCTCATCATATCAGCGCCCTGAACAGGACCTTGTTTGCTGTTGACCAAGTAATCGGCTGACATCTACGAACGAGTGTAAAAAGTCCCTATTGTGGGAAGTATCAGAAACCGAACTCTTAGCTCAAGACATGGCTTACCGGTCCACAAATTAGAATTTGTGAGAGATGGAAGCAACCCAACTTCTCCGCCACTGCTCCAAAATAATCCTGAGTAGTTGGTGGGCTGGACCTGGAAGTCTATCGTCGTACTGTATGGAGCCGCCACCCATCAGAAAATTGTAGACATTGAGTTGAAGAGATATCAATCGAATCAGTTAGCACCTTGATGAACAATAAGTAATACCTTATGCGAGTAGTATGTCCTATCTTGACATCGATAAGTACAACCCGGATGGATCAATAGAGATAAAGTGATGCGCATTAGGGTCCTTTCTGGTGAGTTTGCTCTCTAGCATCCTTCTGGTTTATTTAATGATATCTGAGTGGTCCACGGTTTATCGGCAGATTCAATATGCCGTGGGAATAATATTAGTGATACCCAGGGCCCTCGAACCCTTCGCGAATGATGTATTCGCCGTCTTTCCCTCGTGCCAGGCAATTGGCGCACGCTCCTGCGTATAGAGCAGATCCGCTATAGGATGGAGAAACGATACACTCGGAGTAGAGACCTCCCGTCTTGTAGAACTTATTGCACTGAGAGAGAGCCCGAAATTCTCACCGGTACGGCATGTAACAACTCTTATGGTCCTTGTTTAGCAGGGAATCTTGTTCTCTGCCTTCGGTCTCTTCGATTTATTTCTCTTCCTCCTCACCATTTCCGGGGTAGTACAACTATTTACAATAATAGTTAGCTAAAATCACAGTTCAAATGGTATTAGTACTTACCTCGGAAAGAGTACCTAGCACCGCTTAAATTGTAATAGCAATTTCCGCAGCTCATGCTAAAGTAGCCCGACAAAATCGCAGAATGTAAATGGCCTGTTTCCTCTCTGACAGTGCTTGTATTCGTTCTCATGGTCTATCCCTACCGTCTAAAATACTGAGTGCTTCAAAGTTCGGATTGCGGCCCAAATTCAATTTATCGATATCACTCCCCGGAGCACGCCTCAGGCTCTTGTATAGCTGGTATTGTTACCATAGCCTGATTTAGAGCTGATAGGCGAGTTTCTCATATCGCGCGCAAAGATAATAATTGGGCCGTTTTCCATATTATCTTCGTGTTCAAAAGCCGTATTAGCTGGCGTTGCGGTCTTATCCTAGGCTGCTAGTTATAATACCACCATGGCGAGCAACATTCCGCAGTCGGGTTGTGGGTTTATCCATAGCTGACAGGTCTTCCAATTTCAGAGGATTGTTTGTTGCGAGAAGTGGATGCGATGAGGGTGGGATTAGTCTGTTTATATACCTACAGGAAAAACAGGGGAATAATCAGAACTACGTGGCGTTAATAACATGAATTGTTAATGGTTGTAGCTCCGTGAAGTAATAGATCTGGATATATTGAAATTGTCTAGGTAGTGGACAAGGCGAAATTGAATAGCCACTGTACCTGACAGCACTGGAACGATGTGAATCGGAAACCCATAGTTAAACAAGGCTGGAAGTAGAATGACCTCTTGTATACTCTTCACCAATTGTATGACCTCTATCGTCACGCCAAATACCAAAATTGAATGCCTAGTTGTATGAAGGACCGTGCCGGAACTGACCATGGAATTCTATCCTGCCGGAGATACATTGGACTGAGAAGCGACAGATCATGCGAACCTGATTAATTTCCAACAGCACTCTGCAGATCTAGACGCACGAGCTCTGAATATTCGGTGCTAACAACAATGAACTAGGAGCTCCTGTAAAGTGCTTTAGTATAAGGACTGTACAAATTTATGCCATCTTGGTAGTTTAATACAAATAGTTAATACATCAATACTGTTTCCCTAAATGTCACGATTTATGAACTGGGATTGCTTCATGTTGACCAAGCTTTCTTCAATTCCAGCCATTCTGCGCTAGCTATCGAGGGGATAACAAGCAAATAATTTATATATAGTCAGTAGTTATAATAATTTCTAAACCACTTTCCGGATGCGTACTTCAATTCCTGAAAATAGGTTTCAGCAATGTCTCGAGGATAGGAGGCAACTGATGACTGGATAGCAGCTTACCCTTACACATTCGTATGTAGAACAAACTGCACGCCGAACCATAGACAAAATATAGTATGTATTATTATGAAGGAAGCACATACCCCGTGATACTTTGTCTTTTCAAAAAGGCTTAGTCGAGGGGAGAGCGAACAGGAATGGAAATCTCGTTCCATACTTTTCACAGTGCTGTCGTTGAGCTAGGACTGGGGATATTGAGGATAGCATTTCAAGCTAAAGTTATATTGAAAAGAAATAGGTGTAACCCCAAATGACAGCTACTCGCTTCAAAGTATAGTGTATTTCACTATCTGAATGGTCTCTTGCTGATGTGCCAATCTGTAGAGAGATTCTTGGACAGGGAAACCGAAGGTTCAACAAGCGATAGAAGAGAAGTTGGCTGCGCCTGTGGTAGGTCTTGTAGTAGATACAGTAGACACTAGGTCTTAAAGCATATGATAGTAAGTCACAATATATCGAGACGGACTAAACACGCCTGAGTTCCCCATGTGTGGCAGTATGTTAAGACACTTTTCAATGTAAGAGGAAGGAATATAAATCTGAATCCGGAGCACATGTCGCTATTCTCTTGCCTGTCATCCCCTCTCAACAGTTTTCAGTCGCTCAGGAGTCCACATCTGACATCTTCCAAGGACTATGATAAATTATGTGGTAAAAATGGCCTTGTCATCCCCGGAGAAAGGGTGAGTAAAACGGCAATCCGGGAAGGATGACCGCTCTGACCGTAAGCAGTCCAAGCAAATTCCCACCTTTGCGTCTTTGAGGTTATTCAAGAATCTCACAGTCTTCCTGTCATGCTCCAATGCTTTATTCGACATGCATACACAACCTTGTAACTTGCAAGGCTGGGCGTGGAACGTAGATAGCGTCGATGCGTCCCAATACACTTGCCTGAAGCTCTTGGCTTCAAAGGCATCGGTGCCTGGAAGCAGTCCCCGCGCTTGTAGCTTCTGCGTATACAGCGATATGTACCTGGATTCGTCGGTTTTCAGTGCAGTCAAGCTGTCGAGTGCGCATATAAGTGCCTTTCGAACCATACGATGAAGCTCGTGTCTCTTTCTCTCAAATTCGACTGCGATAGTTCTCAGTATCAAGCTATTTGTGACGCCCAGGGAAATGGATTGCCTACCGACGATGTTGCTGTCCATGAGTGGGTGATCCGCCAACAAGAGTAATTCAGAATAGGAACCCACATGGTTGAAGAGGATTTCCTTCGAGATGGTAGCGAATCTCTCCGGTATATCCATAATATACGCGAGCAACAGCAATGGACACAGCTCCGTGACAGTCAGGGTTCGTAGATTTTTCAACAACCAGACCTTGACTTGGGAGGCAACTGCCTTCTTGCACATGTATTTATCAACTAACACCGCAAATCTTTCCAGAAATATAGCAGTCGGCTTCTCCGGGATCTCATCAGTTCGGAAATGCACTATGTTAAAGAAAGCGAGGAGTGCTTCGGCATCGTCGTCACCCAGGTGTATGACCGCTGGCTCCTTCGGTTCATCTATTATTAAGGTACCCTCTCTGAAGAGAGGGCTGAACATAACGGAAAATACAGGGGAAGCTGTAGACAAAATCTTGGAGGAGACCTGAAAGGAGTCATCGCCGGACATGATGACAATGTCGCCCGTGGGGTCGACCAATGCGACTGGCATGTTGACGAAGACTTTATCGGTGTTGGAGGATTTCGAGGCTGAAAGAACCTGCTTTACAATCTAGTCAGTCAGATCCTGATGTCAGAGAAAAATATGAATCCAATCTAGCGCTACTTAGAGAGACTCACCGAACGGGTGTAAAGTAAGGTTTGATGTACTGTAGATTAAAACCGAAAGGCAAGTTCAAATGAATCAGAAGGATTAGAAGCGGTTGTGTTGAGCAGGTCATGGTCCACGTGAGGATTTCACCAATATCAACAGGACATGCTCGTTCTTGGATCACCGTTCAAATCCCGCTCACACAGTGTTACTCTCAGTTGCCAACCCAATAAGTCAAAAGGTACAACAGTAGAAATCCCTCTCATATTATATATGCCTCTTGACTAGCTTCTGAGTATAGGAAAGCTTAGCTGGAGTCGACATATGCCAGTCAAGGTATATGATGGCATCATATACTGAGTTGAACATACCTCGAGCCATCAAGGTCTTAATCAATTGAGCGGACTCTCACTGCTCAAGTCCGAATGCCTTCAACTAGCCCCCAATAGTCCTCACTTATAAGATCAACTGTAGGAACACGTTGTTTAATCAAGAGCTTTCAAGCCATTGCCGTGGATAGGAGACTTGAAACATAGATAACATATACAAGGGGATATCAAGGATATGTAGCGTACAATGACAATGCATTACTAGTCAGCATAGCAATATAAAACGAAAATGACGAGAAAAACTTCTCAACTTCCAATTCCTTTCAAACTTTTGCCGCTTGGACAGCTCTCGGACTATGAGACCCATTTACTTCGTTTGAAGTACTCTCTTACTATTTGTGAGAGCAAAAGGAAAGCCGGGCACTATCTATCATCCATTAATAATCTTAGACACGTCGAGAAGCCCCTCTAAGAATGACTTGTGGAATTCTAGCATACAAAAGTGCGTGGCCGAATTCATTTATAAACAACCTCAGTAGCCGAGTGTTGAATTGCTCGTATATTCTTGTATTCATGACTTTCACCGCCAGTTGTGAGGAACAGACACACAAGTATATCGATGAGATATGACCCAAACTAAGACCAATCGATACTCATATGCTAAAAACATCATGTCACACGGCAAAGACAAAATTTACGTCGGACTCTTTGAGCGGGCTCTGTGGGCATGCCCACATAAAGAAGACCGGTAAACACTCAAAACATATCCAAAGATTCGAACGGAACATTATTTACAAAATATAGGTATACCTGGGCTTTCATTATTGGGCCCCAGATAAAACCAACCCACGGCGGAATGAGGTTCCATGCTGTGGAATACCATCCCGATATGTGGACGCAATTTTGTATGCTGGACCAAAAAAACGAGACAGTATTCAACTCAGCTCACAGTACACACCTATTGTATTGGTCAAATAGCCAACGTCAGGAATCGATCACGGCTCATAGACATGATTCGCGGGCGCTCAGCCTGTATTTCTATCATGTATTGTGGCATTTGCAGGTTCAAACACAGGTCCAATCGTTGTGATAGTCGCAGTTGGGTTCAGAGAGTACTGAAGAGGCTCGGCAATGAGCGCAGATGTCTAGGTACCCCAGCCTTGGGTTTCTCAGTAGCGGACTTTGAAGAGGTGCATGGGGCTACTATGGCATGCATTGGGAGGAAGATGGACAACACAAGATATCAAAGTCACGATAGTATGGGTCTGACAAGACCTACCTATATATGTGAAGTTTTCCTCATCCAACCTAGAATTAGCCCCTCTCCTTTCGTCTGCTCAATTAAAATTCGTAAAGGATAAGCTCTAGAGTGGCTGGATTGCCGGACGCATGATGACATCTTTTCGGTTTAGATTCTTACGAACCCTAAGTTAACGCTGTGTTGGGGATTGGAAGCACTCATAATGATTAGAAATCTCTAGCTCTGATGTGATAAGACGGAGTGAGAAATCAACGTTCCTTTTCCCCATTTCCCAGATTATGTTGAAATTCTATAGCGCATTGTCAATCTCGCGGAGACACAAACTATAACACTAGTAATCAGAGTTGTGATATCAGTACATGGAGTCATAAACTATGACTAAACACCTACGTGGTCTGTTACTACCAGATCGAAGATGCTAGGTAAAAGTGAGTAATCACCTATTGTGGCCAGAGGCATCTCGAGGATAAAAACGATACATAGGCTCCTTTGATAAGAAGACAATGAGATTTGAGGGCTGTAACGAAATCATGAAACTTCCATATTGGAGATAAAGCAGCTCCAGATCATACACCCAGTATAAAGGGCCATTGTCTCATAATTCTGAGCAAGGATGTCTTTGTATTAATCCACATCCCGCATTCTGACCCTGAAACTGATTATATGCATCAAAATCCCTATAAATGCGCGTTTCCTTGTTACGTCTCGCTTTCTACCAAAAGAAGTTTGATCTCTTTTAAGCAGTATTTCATCTAAATGGAGAAGTCGGTCATTATGCTTTTGAGAGGACAAATACAAGACATACGGAGCCATGAGGACAAACTGCCAATAACAAAGATATCACATCGGCACCACGAAAATGTCAACACGATACATGAGTTATTTGTGCTTAAGGCGGTAAAATACCTTTCCTTTCTGTCTAATTCATATAAGTAGATGTCTTCTGCAATATTCGGCTGTGGATCTTCATCATCAGCGAGATCTTGAGTACACGCTCTTATTATTCTGGAGCCAACTATTTACCATTGTCAGCAAACCCAGAGCAAGTAGTAAAAGACTGCCATCCCAACTTTCCAAGACACAATGTCAGCTTTTGAAACGTACAAGCTGTTTATAGGCACCTACAGTATTCCAGATGATCCAGCAAACCGTTTAAACCAAAGGCAAGGTAGCCCATCCCAACTGCTGCATAATAAGCTAACTATCGGCTCTTTCATCTATAGATTCCATTGGACACTCATCATCGAAAATAGTTCCAATATGACTGGCGCAAGGCGCTTTCACGGTTGCTGTGGGATCGAATCCAAGTTGGACGAAGGCCTTGGAATTCCGAGTGGTGCTCTCAATGATAAGCCAGATAACCCAGTTCTGGAGCGAGCGGTTTCCCTACGGGATCACGATGAGTCCTTTAGGAAACTTGAGATCGGGGACGTTGGCAGTCTAACCCGCTTGTTGGATTTCCTTCGTACCTTTAAAGTGGATCGCAACGAGAGGCCCTCGAGTTGTTATCATTGGGCTCGAGACGCAATCGAAGATCTTATGAAAAAGAATGCTTCTTATGTGAATCTTCGAGGAAAGTGGGCCGAAACACAAGAATTGCTGGCGAACGGCCCAGATATGAATCAAAATGCCAGGTATGACGATGGCATGGTCCTGGGTGTTCAGCACGAAGATACTGCAAGACAAAATGACACAAGCCAGCACAACAGAAGCGTCGATGTAAGTGACGATGGAATCGGGTTGCATGTTGTCACCCAGAATGCCGCAGCTACGGATAAGATAAGCCTTGAGGGGCTATCTCCAGATTTTATACAGAAATTCGACCTGCACAATCATCGGATGGTTCAGAATGATGGAGGTTATGATACCATGAACCTTGGTTTCAATGACCAGAACCCAGTGAGAGGTCGTGCTATGAACCAGAATGTTCCCCCTCTGAATAGCATGCGCTCTACCACAACTCGCCAATATACTACAAACCAAGAGACTATGGAGACTAATCGCGGAAAACACAAGGACAAGAAACAGGGTTCGAGTTGGTGTTGTTTTTGATGAGCCCGGGGCATTATTCAGGCGGAAACGAACATGACCCAGAGAACAGAATACTTAAGTGAATGGTTGTTCAGTTAGACATGCCTCCAATCTCCTAGTTTTAATTTGTTTCCTTCTGCGCAAGTTCCGTCCTGCTAGATATGCTCCGTACTACTCCCCATCAGTCCCTGTTGATATATGCCCTTAATAGACAGGTCCCATATCAACCTGGAGTTTTAAATAGGCCTTCATTAGAGAAACAGATATTCCTGAACATAGTGGTTGGATTGACGTAGGAAATGGCCCTCCACATTCAGTGTTGGACGTGCACGACCTGGGGGTACTGGGTGGTCCACATATTTCTAGTTAAATAACATCTCATCCATCTCAAACTGCCTTTCGGTATAGGTAAAACAACCGGGCAGTAAACGGCAAACTCCGTACTTGAACTTCAGATAACTTCGAACGATACTTGCCTTTCCTCTTGCTGTTTCTGTCGCGCTTACAAAGCCTTGCGCACCCCTTCATATGCATTTCGGTAGTGGGTGCCGGGAAATTGGCAATTAAACTATTTCTGAAGGCGAGGCAACCTCCTCTGATTTATCCTCAAGGAGTCATGCGTATATTCGCGATATAATTGGTCTCGATTAGGGCTTTTAATATGTTCTCGCCGGACATTCCGAAGCGGGGCCAGCTAAGAGTAGCTAAGACTGCTAGCTTGATCTTGTATAGACCAATCGCTCCACTACCCAATTGCACGTGTGGAAGCTTGCCTACATCGTGTCTTGCCTATCGGCAACACGCGAATGCAGCCATGTAAGCATACAGCTAAGTTATAAAAGCCCAGCCCGTTGGCTGTTTCTTGTTGGAGAGACACGGCTTCAATTCTTTCTCATCATGAAGGCAACTGCTGCTTCCCTCTTGCTGGCTCTGTCCAGCGCCGTCAATGGCCGCCCTACAGTGGACAATCGCTTTCCATACAAGGGCCCTGCGGTTCCTGTAGGTGATTGGGTCGATCCCACGATCAACGGCAACGGCAAAGGCTTCAATCGACTCGTGGAGCCTCCGGCCGTCAAGCCTGCATCGTCGCACCCGACGAACAATGTTAATGTGATCTCGCTGTCGTATATTCCCGACGGTATTCACATTCACTACCAGACGCCCTTTGGCCTGGGACAATCACCCGCGGTGAAATGGGGTACTAGCCCAACCCGCTTGGTCAACGTCGCGCGAGGCTTTTCTCATACGTGAGCAGCCCCGAGACTTCAATTGAGACCTAGTTCCATACTGACAGATATTAGCTACGACCGTACACCGTCCTGCTCGCAGGTGAAGGCTGTCACACAGTGTAGTCAGTTCTTCCACGAGGTTTCTCTGCCTCATCTTGAGTCTGGCAAGACCTACTACTACCAGATCCCCGCCGCCAATGGCACAACGGAGTCTGAGGTCTTGAGCTTCACCACCGCCCGAAAGGCTGGTGACCCTACCGAATTCTCGGTGGCCGTTCTGAATGATATGGGCTACACCAATGCGCAGGGTACACACAAGTACCTAACCAAGGCGGCCAGCGAGGCCGCCTTTGCGTGGCACGGTGGTGATATCAGTTACGCAGATGATTGGTCTTCTGGTATCATGGCCTGTGAGGATTCCTGGCCTCTCTGCTACAACGGCTCTAGCAGCTCGCTCCCCGGTGGTGTGATCACCCCAGAGTACAAGCAGCCCCTTCCTAAGGGAGAAATTCCGAACCAAGGTGGTCCCCAGGGTGGTGACATGAGTGTCATTTACGAGTCCAACTGGGATCTCTGGCAGCAGTGGATGGGTAACATTACGAAGAAGATTCCCTACATGGTTCTTCCCGGTAACCACGAGGCTGCTTGTGCTGAATTTGATGGCCCCAATAACGTCCTCTCGGCGTATCTAGATCACAAAGAGCCAAACAGCACCTGGACCAAGCAAGACCTGAACTACTACAGCTGCCCTCCTTCCCAGCGGTAAGTCCTAATCACCCCATGACTGATCCCCCTCCCAATACTGATCTGTTCCCTTAGAAACTTCACGGCTTTCCAGCACCGCTTCCGCATGCCCGGTTCCGAGAGCGGCGGTGTGACCAACTTCTGGTACTCGTTCGACTATGGCCTCGCCCACTTCGTCTCCATCGACGGGGAAACCGACTACGCCAACAGCCCTGAATGGTCCTTCGCCAGGGATCTCACCGGCAATGAGACCTTCCCGAAGGAGTCGGAGACATTCGTCACAGACAGCGGCCCCTTTGGAGCTATCGACGGCAGCGTCAAGGACACCAAGGCCTATGAGCAGTACAAGTGGTTGAAGAAGGACCTCTCCAGCGTAGACCGCACCAAGACTCCCTGGGTCATTGTCATGAGTCACCGCCCCATGTACAGCTCTGCATACTCGTCCTACCAGAAGAATATTCGGGAGGCATTTGAGGCGCTTCTCCTCGAGTATGGCGTTGATGCTTACCTCTCCGGCCATATCCACTGGTATGAGCGCTTGTGGCCGTTGGGTGCGAACGGCACTATCGATCGTGCTTCAGTGCTAAACAAGAATACTTACCGGGCCAACCCTGGCAAGTCCATGACTCATATTGTTAACGGTATGGCGGGTAATATTGAGAGCCATAGTGAGTTTAGCGCAGGCCAGGGCCTCACTAATATCACTGCGGTACTGAATACGAAGGAGTATGGTTTCAGTAAGCTTACTGTTGCTAACGCTACTGCTCTGAAGTGGGAGTACGTGAAGGGCAGTGATGGCTCTGCTGGAGATACACTTTGGTTGATTAAACCTGAGGCTGCTGGTTCCCACGGCCACGGAAAGCGGCCTGTTGGGAAGAAGCCTCGTTACTAAAGGGTCTCTGACATAATGGCCCCATATCTCAATATTTTTCTGTACATAACTTGGTCCGGGTTCTGCGACGGGGACCAGTACTGGTAGAGGGAGATGGTATGTAATATAGTGAAATAGAAGTGAAAAGGAAAGCCAACAACGGTCAAGAATCTTCGCCTATCTCGGCTTGCCTTTCTGCTTCCTTTCGTAGTTTGATGATTTGAGACGCTTGCAGTTGCTACCGACCACAGACAAGTGTAAACACCCGCCTTCCAGAACTATCACTCAGATCCGAGTAATCCGTGGCAGGCTTCCCAGCCATCCATAACATACAACAATAAACCCACCACGATATTCCATAAATAAAAAGGAGGCCAAACCCTTGGGCGTAATCAATTTAACCAAGCCTGGGGTAAATTTGGCAGTCATGAACTCAGACCGATAGAACTGACGAAGTCTCTTCGAAGAGAGATCCACTTCCCCTGTCATGTGGCCTGCATGGTACTGTATCTAAATACAAACATACATAAATTCAATGTTCAATACCCAATACATGCAATACAAGCCCCTTTGTGGCAGCATTAAATAAAGAAGCATTGTTCTATTATTGGCTCATTGAAACGCCCTTTATTGATTCTAAAATTAACGGTTGCCCCTTGAACAGAACCACGGATTGGAACGCGTGGAAAGTCTCCTGTCACTCCACTGGAAAAAGCTCCGTCAAGCATTGAAAGTACATACTGTTCTGGCAGGGATTGTCAGTCCCCCTTGCGTTGAATACTACAGGTGTACTTGGTAATTTTGCAATACGACAGGGCGAACAGACGTGTTGCTCTAGGCAGCACTTTTTCTCATCCCCAACCATCAGCCCTACGAGGCGACGGCCCACTTGGACTCGGCTTTCTCGGTACCACATGAGCCAATAACACGATTGTTCTATTCCACTTTCTCCCCATGGAGGATATCAATAATTCATTATTCATTACCAACGACTAATCATGAACCGCCCGACACAGCTGCCACCACCACGTCATCATCTTGACCAAGAATTTCTCGCCTAGAAAATGGAACGGAAGCGGTAAGGGTCGGTGGAAAGCCCATCCCAGCCCCTCACGAATTTGCTTCTCCACGGCCCTCCGCCAGTCGATGTGATGCGCAAAGTGAAAAGGAAAATGATGCTGACTCACTGTCCGGATGGTACAGTCGATATGTGGATGGTCCTGTAGCTCAATTTGCGGCTGTAGAATATGTGGCTCCAGACTCTCGAGGTCGATTTCTAACCGTACTATCCCGGTCCCTGTCACCTGTCTCACATGTACTACGAGATCGTGGTTCTTGCGGTCTGGCTTTTCATGCACGATGGCCAAGTCGATGAGCGGCTCATCAGTGTGTACCAGGTCCAGCAGATGCATTCGCTGGTCCTGCGGTGGACGGAGATCGATGCGGAAGTGTCCTTCGAAGATCAAATTGCGCGACTGGGGCTTGGAGTAGGTCGTCACTTTGGTAAATCGCAGCGGCTGGTCTACTACAGCCAGGGAGTGGATGACCAGTTTCTGGGGAGAGGAGTCTTCGCTGCGTTGGGCCAGTCCGGCGTTGACGTATTGAACGATCTGTTTGCAGATCTGGCGTTGGTAGAGGTGCCATGCTCGACCTAAGGCTTCGTTTATCCATTCTACGCTTTCGCCATGCTGTAAAACTTTCTGTGCATGGTATCGACGGAGCTCATCTCGGATGGCGCGCTCGATTCGTCGGATGGACACTTGGTAGTGCGTGCGGCATACGGCTAGGATAATGAGTAGCCAAACGAAGCGGAAGTTTAGTCGACAGAGGGTCCACGATGCTAGACAGCCGACGATAATCAACTTCGATTCTTTGTAGGTTTGTTCGATGAAGTCTAGGGTTTCGGTGAGGGTCGGGGCCCTTTGCTTGGCTTGGGGGTTGTCTTTGCCCATGATTACATAGCAGAGGTATATATTATGGTGTTGTCGATGGTGAACTCAACTGAGTGTGGAAAAAGATATGGGATGAAAATGACTGTGATCCATGGCCGGGGGCCAAACTGAAGCCATAATTCTTAGACGCAGGGAAGAGAAGGAGAGAAAAGGCGGTGCTGAAGGCTTAATATACGCACATCCACCATGCATGAACTGTCCATCTGCATTCCAATTAGGCAATCACCATGGTATATTACCGATACATACATACAGCTGACCGTATTTGCAGAAAAAGGTTATGAACAGTCCCCATGACCCACCGCACTAGTCCGCCTTATTTGTTGTCCTCGATGATCTCTCCTCCTGCTTCAGCTCCCTTTTGCCGGTCATTCGCAGTCTTCCAAGGTTTTTACGCCCACTTTCCGAGTAAAGCCATGATCCCCGCTCCCAACAACATGCATCCCACCATGACAAATAAATGCGATCTCCTCTTGGTCCGGTCGGGATCAAACAAAAAGTCTCTCGCCAACAATTCCACCAGTCCACTGTAAATCAAAATCCCCGCGGAGATCGCATCCAGCACACCTTGCACGATTATCGCCGTCTTGGATCCCGGGTTGTACGACGTCCGCACCCCTAGTCCAATAGCAATAGAAATGGGCGTCGTTAGACCATACAAAAGACACAGCATCCATGGCATCCACCGACGGGAACCAAAATGGAGCGCTGACATACGCGCACCAATTCCCAGACCTTCAAAGGCTTGGTGAAAGACCAACACGGGGTACAGAGTCGTGAACTCTTCGCCTGTCACACCCAGGTTCAGACCGATTATGACGGAGTGGAATATGATGCCGAACTCGAGGATCAAGAAGGCAGCAATTTCTTGTCGGAATGCCCGTTCGGAACGTACCGAGGCCACTTCGGTGTGAATATCGGTGGTTTTTGGGGTGGGCGTGCCAGACTCCACGGCGTGGGATGTACTGTCCGAATCCGACGCGCAGGAGTGTGTGATGAACGCCTCTGTGGCGTCGTCATTTCGCTGAACCCCGTATTTATACTCTACGTATACCTCAGCGCCTAGATCCAGCAGGAATATGGTTACGACGGAGACGAGGACGATGGCGGCACACCAGGAGTAGTCTCCCCAGTGCCCGGACACTCCGATACATGAGTTCGGGCCGATGCTGCTGTATGCGGGATCCAGGAGGTGGATGAACGCTGTAGCCACTATGACACCTGTGCCGAAATATCGGGCGAAGAGGTAAACATGGTAGGGGGTCCTCAACCCCGGAGCTCGTTTGGCAATCACGGGGAACAAGGTGAATGCGGTTGACGTGATGAAAATAACGAAAATAGAAGATATGCGGGCGCCGAGGTGGCCGTTGTAGTCGTTTTCGGACAGCGCCAGATAGCAGAGGACATCCGCCTGGCTAGCTGTGTCAAGGTCAACATTGTGAGCGTCGAAGGAAGACATGATAGTCGCGACCAAGGGCGAACGTTGAACTCAAAGAGGATTGTCCTTTGCTCACCGTATTATACAACGCGCATGAGTACCTTGGAGTTTATGTACACACATTATGTGCCTTGCAAGGTCCTTGGTGGTTTTACCCAGAGACTGCCCTTACCTTCTGGACTGAGATCAAGGCACACGGCCAACAGACTTTTGTAGGTGATATGGTAATTGATCGAAGTAAGCCCCAGTGAGGGACTGCAAGCCATCTTACCCTTCGGCGATGTAGCCGTACTTGTGACTTTTCTGATGAGATACCCGACGGAGGTTTATCATGAAAGATTTGATGTCGATGAAAATGACTTTTACAGTTAGCAAGTCGTTCAAGTAGTATCCAAAGCTACGTCAAGCTTTTGGACCGGGCTAGATGACATGCGAGGTCGGTCTATCCTAAGTTTTTTACCTAGTGGGGACAGTGGAGATGGAAGGCCCTTATACTGAGTACCCTCGTGCCGACCATTTCCAGTGAAGTATTCTCGCCAATTCTTTTTTTTTTTTTTTTTTTTTCCTGTCCTTCGACCATGACCTGGAAGGACCAATCTTATCAAGGATCACTTCCAGCCAAGCGTTTCTCTATATCCTCTCCGAATTGCCCATGCTGGATGTTCTCCATCGGCCAAAGTCAACCCTGTATAATGCATCCAGCACCAACACGATACAATATATCGATCATTGCTCAATGAAGGAAGGTGGACCAGTGCCGCGACAAGGGTATGCGTCACTTAAAAGACCTCGAGCCTTGAATAATAATGACTAGGACGAATGGCAAACGACTTGATCCTCCAGAATCTTCCACGATATGGCATTCAATTTGGCGACACTCATATTAAGAGATCGGCATAGGATCCCGTCGTTATCCACCTTATATCCACCGCACACTCTCGCTACGTTCTCTTCATACGTGATGCTATCTACAAGATTGTTTCACCGTAGCAAGACCTACCGACATTTACTAAGGCTAGAATTGCAAGCTCCAATGAAGAACAGCGTCTCGCATCATTTTCGTTGGTTGGTGGCTTAATTCGCAAGGCACAGCTCCGAAGTAATTATGATCGCTGCCAACCCATCCATAGCAATACGCCATACCCATTGTGCACTCCCGGGTCGTGAGGGATTGATTGATCGTTCCAGAAGCTAGACAATGGGGTGGATCTCAGACAGTTAAAGATCGGCAATGCATAGCCACCATGAAAGGACATCAATGTTTACTCAGTATACGGACGCCACTCCGAGCAAATGGGATTGTCCAAAGAGATCAGGCGTATCTACTGAGTAGCCACTGGGCGATTGGGGCCCACTGCGGGCGGACCAACTGCTATTCTAACTACTCGCCCTGACGATCTTCCACTTTTCTCCACCAACAAAATCCCAATGGGGAAATCATAGTCAATTCCTGGTTTGGGACAACAACACGCTATCCCTCATGCCTGGTAATATCAGATGGTCTGATCTGTCTTTTGCATGCTCTTTGACCTCATTTGCTATCTGTTGTCAGCGAGTAACTATACTTCCGAATATACAAAGCACCTTAAAATATTAGGAAATACTGCCGACAGGAGTACGGCATAACTAAGTGATCGACCGGGAAAACTGCGGTACAAGGAAACCTTTGTCTTAGTCTACCAACCGGGCCTAGTTTCACCATGCAGCCCGTTTTATCAATCTCTAACGGGCTCCGCTTTCTGATTGAGGATACTCTAATGGTGCACAACTGGTGGAGGAATATACTCGGCGATATGAGTAGTCGTCATTGTACTGTTGCAACTTCCTCAGTCAGCATATAAAGCCGCCATCATACCCACGGCTGTGCATATAGATTGGTACTCTATACTCCTTTTCCAAGTTTGTCAATCCCTCCCTCATATCAAAAACTGCTGGTTCAGTTGGTTCTCGTCATTTTAGCATTGAGTCCGTTTTCCGTTGGCCATAACGCCCTGGCAAAATGGTTCTCCTCCGTTCTTTCCTGACGGCAGCTGCCCTGCTAGGTGCATCTGCTCAGGCCCAGAGTGTCGTTGGTACTCCGTTTGGCTTCGCCAGCGGGACTACTGGCGGTGGTAACGCCGCTCCGGCGGCGCCCAAGGACCCAAGTGAGCTCAAGGAATGGCTGGCCGACTCTACCCCCCGAGTGATCGTGATCGACAAGGAGTTCAACTTCATCGGTAGTGAAGACACTTGTACCGACTGCGAATGCTGTGTCCCGGAGTCGAATACCTGCGGCGATGCTGGGCAGAATGCAATCAAAACCAAGGGTTCTGACTGGTGCGGTTCCTACCCTGCTACGAAGTGCACATACGACAATGCCGGCCTTCAAGGCATGGAGGTTGCCTCTGACAAGACCATCATCGGTGTGGGCGACGCCGGTGTGATCCGGGGTAAGGGTCTGAGGCTGGTCAATGGCGTCAGCAACATCATCATCCAGAACATTCACATCACCGAGCTGAACCCCCAGTACATATGGGGTGGTGATGCTATTTCGCTCGACGGCACGGACAAGATTTGGATCGACCATGTCAAGGTCTCCCTGGTTGGCCGCCAGATGTTTGTAACTGGTTATGAGTCTAGTATGTGTCACGGGTGGCAGAATTCATGTTGGTCGGACAAAAGCTGATTAAATCGATAGGTGGTGGTGTGACTGTTTCCAACAGTGAGTTTGACGGTCAGACTAAGTGGTCCTCCTCCTGCGATGGACACCACTACTGGTCTGTGTAAGTGACTCTTAACTCTAATGCTGAACCGCCACAACGGACACTGATTACCTACAGCCTAGGTTATGGCAAGGGCGACCAGATCACCTTTGCGAACAACTACTTGCATCACACGTCCGGCCGTTCTCCTAAGATCGAGTTCGATAGCCACTGGCACGCATACAACAACCTCTGGGAGAACAACAGCGGTCACGCCTTCGACGTCGGTGAGGGAGCCAATGTGCTTATTGAGGGCAACGTTTTCTCCAATGTCAAGACTCCTATGAACCCCGAGAATAAGCCCGGCTCCACCTTTGCTGTGAACGCTCAGGACGCGTCTTCCTGCACCTCTGCGCTCGGCCGTCCTTGCATTGCGAATGAGCTGACCAGTTCCGGCGAATTGTCGGGCAATGACGAAGCGGTTCTCTCCGGCTGGCCGAAGGGCGAAGGCGATTCTAAGGCTATGACCACAGATAAGGTGCCTTCCTATGTCAAGGCCAACGCGGGTGTCGGCAAGTTGGGCGCTGGCGGTGCTTCCAGCAGCGCAAGTGTTACTCCTTCCCCTACCTCTAGCGCGGTCCCATCTTCCAGCGCAACCCCATCCTCGTCGGCTTACGTCAGGCGCCATCACGCCCGTCGCCATCACTAGGTAAATAAGATCTCATATTGATGTTCCGCTTAGAGAACTAACCTTATTTCCTAGGGGCGTCTTCAAGGCCTCTCAACATACACATGAACGCATCAAGCAATCTCCAAGTAATCTAAGGGGTATGCCGATCACATCGATGCCTGTCTTGTACATCACTCGGTCTGTGGCGGTGTAAGGGCTACCGGTCCTAATGTTATTGAGAAGGCTAGATGTCCATCGACATCACGGATTTCTGTCTATAGTTGTCATTCCTTGTAACTTTAGATTTGGTGATTTAATCAGAACAGCGCAGTTTAGAGCTCCATGCTCTCAGCTTTGTGATAATTCTATCCACTGTGAAGTCAGAACGCACTATATAATTCGCGGTTTGCTTCAGGCATTAATGTCTACCAGAAACTCAACGACATGAAGGGTTGTACATTAGTAATGCGAGGGATATAACTGCGACTTTATACGGGTGCAACGGCCACCTTCCGCCTCCAACCCAGCCACCGGGATCGCTGAACGTGCAGAACACTATTTGTGGGGCGACAGGGAAGATGCTTTGTCTAAAACGAACATTTTTATTGTATGGACAATGCAACCCATTCTTCGGGATCTGCAGTGTGATGCCTGCAAGCCCAGCCTTGTGATACTTGGCCAGGACTGGTTGATCGAATACAACCGTAAGGCAGTCATTGTTGATAATGGCTTATCGCAAGCTATCTTTACGACGACCATCAGCCAGGTGATGTCAGATGACCTCTCCTTTGTTCCCCGCTGGAACGGTTGCACCATTCCATGCGCATTTCCGTTGCTCTTGTCACCCGCAAGGAGACATACTTCGAGCCGCAGCTATTTTATCGAAGGAAGGGGGTTTCACTGCATGCCAGTTGCAACACAGCGTGCTGACCGTGATAAGCTTTCGGGATGATTACACTGCAGGACAGGACAGCCATGCTCAGGTGGAAGTGTGAGTCGCCCACAGAGCCAACTTCTGATCGATTCGACTTCCAAGTTGAACGCTGCCTTATCGCTTTTGACATAGGTCGCATGTATACCCCAAATAGTGCCCTCCGACCGAGAGGTGGATTTGAAAAAGCCAAGCTTTAAGACCGCCTTTGGGGACGATCGCCAACGGATAACCGAGCTAAAACGCCGATCGTCTGCAAGTCGCTCAAAGGTTCAACCCTCGAGGATGCCAGACCCTTTGTTTCCCCCTTATAATGCAGAGGATTATTGGAGACTTTACTGAACATGGAACGACACGGGAAACCGTGCTGGACACTGGTGTCCAATAGCGTGCAAAATTGGGCACATTTTACGTGATTCTGCACCAATGATTTACGTGCAGATACGGGTCCCATTTCTTTTTTTTTCTTCTTTCTTGACATGTCACCAGCGCCGGAAGCGCATACAATTTGGAGTCCACCAACGATCGATCCACCATGTTCGCCACAGACTCAGACCCCTGCAATGAACCATTGCCTGAGGAAGCGGTCCCATGGTCTTGAGGAATTGGTTGAATTTATGTGAAATTCTTCGCACCTGTTGGAGGCAAACTAAATACATACATAAGATAGGCTTTCGGTGCACCATGGATCCTCGACCGCTTCAAGCACCAGGAGCGCAGGATTTTGGGCTTGGCTTTGTCTTGCGTGTCAGGTCTCGTCGTCATTCGGTGTATTGATTCTCCAATAATCCCGCCAGGTCCACAAAGTGACCGTGCATGAGAAGGATCCCAACTAGCGTGCGACCGAAAGGCAGTTTACGCCCCCATCTTAGGGACTTACCCCAATCGCCTTTCCGCTGCTTTCCACGCCATAATTACTTGGGCGGCAGCTCGGTCACTTGAAGAGAGCGTCTTTCCACCGAACAAAGCCTTTCGAATCATAGCAATCCCAATACCATGAGCAGTGAGCATGGCGACCGGCAGAGCAATGATCAACCCAACCCAACTCTGACAGCTAAGCTGGGCGCGCGAAAGAAGATCCGCCCCACTTATTCATGCTTAAACTGCCACAAACGCAAAGTCAAGGTAATTTCCACACCCTGTCCGGGTTCTTGGTGGCTTCGCTGGCCATTACGGCTGTTGCGATTTCAAGCGCAGCGTCCTATTGGGCTGAGACTGATTCTCTGACGATTCGACTAATAAGATCTCGTTGATGCGGTAGTGCGACCGGGTGAAACCATGTGGTGCGTGCTGTCTTCGGGGGACGCCCTCGGAATGCGAATATGGCACCAGCAAAAAGGACCGACACTATATCGAACAATCGGCCCTGATCGAGAACCTTATGCAAACATGCGAGAGCCTCAAGCGGCAGCTCGCTGAGGCCCGTCAATTGGCCAACCTACCCCCTGTAAAAGCTGAAGAAACCGGCAGTAGCTCTTTATATCAAATTAAACCCAATGACAGCGACGACGAAGGGCCAGGTGAGCAGGCAGCGCATCCTGGACAGGCGCAGCGAGATTCTCCCGACCCTTCAGGGGTGAGTACAGGGGATATTACTGGGTCGCAGAGAGAATGTATGTACCCTTGATCCGAGTCATAGCCGTAATCTCAACCGCCATGGCTTGACCCTGATTGGTCTTATATCGATATATTAATGCTACTCTATATAAAGCTTCCCCTACGTCACTGTCGCGCCAAAAGGCGATCTTAAACGATCCGGCCCTTGCCTCCACCGTGATGGAATTGTTTGTCGACCGACTGATACGTAATTTCAGCCCCGACGACCATCGGAAATACGGCGGTACCATCGCATTACGCGAAGCATCGGATATGCGCATGATCTCACCCATGCTGTGCAACGCTTTTGAGGCGACCGCGCTGACCTTTGCCGGTCGGCGCGACGGGAACCGGTCAGTCGAGCTAGCGGGACATGCCAAATATGTCCGAACGCTTCGGCAGCTCCAAGCTGCTCTATATGACACCGAGGGGAACAAATCTACCGAGGTCCTTGTAGTTGTATTGTTGTCGACAATTACAGAGGTCAGTTACGGTTCTTGTGCCGGGTTCCATGGGCTCATATCTTCCAGGCCTTCAAACAAACGTCGAAAGACTCTATATTTAGACACCAGCTCGGCGGTTTAGAGCTTCTCCGTACGCGGTCGGCTTATCGACATCGCTACGGAATTGAGCGGTCTTTGTTTGTCGATCTTCGACTGTACTGGGTATGGTGCAGATCTTGCTACGGTTGCTAGAGACTAATATTCGGTATCCAGGTCACGGCAGCGCTGGTTCATCGCAAACCGAGTTTCCTGGCGTCTAAAGATTGGCTGACGGTTCCCTGGGCGGGCGATGCACCGGTCAAGGATATCCTGCAGCATCTCCTGGACATTGCCGTAGATATCCCCGGCTATCTTTCTCGGATCGATGAATTCAGCGCCATGGTAGACAGAGCAGCTATATGCACGTTCGAGCTCACCGGGATGCAGAGCTCCATCTGGCAGCAAGCAACCGAGCTGCAGGCGCGCCTCAATCTGTGGAAAGCCGCCTACGCCGACACGTATCCCGCGGGCACCGTATGGGAAGCGTACGACACCGAGTCCGCCGACGGCTTTCCTATCTTCCAGTGTCGCAACACCAGCACCATGTCTGTCACGGTCGCCAAGATTCTGCACTATCCCGATATCCTCCTGGCGACCTCGATGTGTTTCTACTGGGCGTTGTCGCTAGTCGTCTCCATGTCAGATAGCGGGCTGGTCAGCGTGCTCGGCCCGCAACAGCGGTACCAATTCGCATGCGACATCTGCCGCAGCATGAAATATTACATCAACAACATCCCGGGGTATCTGATGTCGCGGATCATGTTCGTCCTGCGCACGGCGTTCGACGCGTTCTCGCCGGGGATGATCGAGAAGGAATTCATCGCGGAGTTATTCCAGTACATCGGGCGCAAATTGGAGTTTACAGTATTTTCCAACAAGTGCGCATCGTCGGCGGTTAAGAGCGAATCTACATGACCTTCTTTGTCTTTTTTTTTTTTTTTTTTTTTTCTCTCTGATTCCAACATTCCCGAGCTACGGTCTTTACGAATGACGAACGTTTCAATCTCCGGTGGCGCAGGTCCAAGTGGTACGGTGTTTCGGGGAGTAGCACATGTGAATTCAATTCCATAGTATATTATCTATATACCATGTGATGCTATAGCATATGATGACTATAGCGTAGGCTATATACAGTCAATATACAATCAATATACAAGACACCAATGATGTCTAGTTCGGGACCCCGTCCGGAGTGAAAATCCGACGGAGATATCGCCGAGGCCCCCGCCTCGGCTGTGTGTGCTCAGAGGCAGCACGGCACATCATGGATCCATCCAGAAATAAACCCAAAAGGATCCATCCATAATCATCTTCACATAGATGATGCGATCGCATTGAATCTTCTAGATTCGATCGAGAGGCGGTAGAATCGAGAATCCAGAATCGAGATAGATTGATAATCTCGGCCCAAGCTCCGAGCAACGCACGTTAATATCCCGTAGCGTCCGTAGCGTCAACCAGCGCATCACGCACTCGTCGTCGCCAGTTACTAGCACTAGTAGTAGTAGTAGCTAGCAACTAGCCAGCTAGCCAGGCTACCGGGCAGTGCAGGTGCATACTCACACGGGGTAATACCAACCCAACCCGACACGGCAAATTAAAACTCACCCCCCCGCAGCAGGCGTAGGCAGAGTAATAAAACAGTGAATCGTAAATAGTAAATAGTATGGCATGATCGATTCACCCACCCACACTCACAAACGCCTCCCCCAAAGCCCCCGCCAACGGATCAGGACAAATAGTGAATCCGCCGGACGGGTCCACGGGCAACCAGTTGGAGGTGAAGCGCGTGCTGCCGTCGGGCATTTCTAGGGGTGTGAAAATATCCTGCTCGGGTTGTGGTTGTGATTCTGCTTGTTGCTCCTCGGGTTGTGGCTGTGGTTGTTGTGGTTCCGGGTCTAGTTCTTGGTATGGAGAATGCGCTTCCACGGAAGAACGTCGGCGTTTCGGGTTGTGGTGTCCACTGCCACTAGCACCACTAGTAGTAGGTGTGATAGGTGTGGTATGGGTAGGGTAGAAGAAGACAGCGTCTTCGGGTAAAACGCCGAGTGCGAAGTCTTCGCCCGATTCTGGGTAATTGTATGTGTGGTGGAGCCCTGTGTCTGCTTTGCGCTTTTTTTGATTCGGGGAGTGACTGTACTCCGTGTTGAATGTGTATGTCGGCGTGTAGCTGTGTGAGGGCGGCGTGCGCGGTCCGAAGGATATGCTCTCGGTGTCGCTGTTGGAGAGGGAGATTGTGTCGGAGGGGTTATGCGTGCTTGTTGGGGAGCTGGGAGAGTAGATTGCGTTATTGTTGTGATTGTTGTTGTTGTAGTGGGGACCTTCGTTCGGGGTGGTTGGTGTTGGTGTTGTGGATGTTGGCGTGGACGTGGTCATGTACAGGGCTCGCTGGGTGGCTTGGTAGGAGGTTGAGCGGAGGAGCGTGCTTAATGCTGTTGTACCGGGTTCTTGTGTTTGGCTGTGTTTCTCTTTGTTAGTTATCTTTCCTTTCGGTACGTATGCATGGCTGGTGTAGAGAAGTAGAATAGAACCCAGAATCGGGTCCCATACACCCAAATACACTCATCTCGATTCCACCGAGAAAAAAAATGAAATAGATAAAAAAAAAAAAAAGAACATACCCAACTTCCCCCTCCCCAAATGCACATCCCAGCTCCACCAAATCCACCGGATAATTAAACCCAAAGTCACTCGGCACGGGGAATTCTCCCGCCGGTTTTCCCGCCAGGTCCAGGTCCAGGTCCCAGTGCTCGAGCATTCCGGGGGCGAACACGTCACTGAGCGAGAGATCGAGGTCGTGGCCATCGTGGTTGTGATCTAGGAAGGGGATTTCGGTGTATGGGACTGTTGTGAAGAGAGTGTGGTCGTGGGTGGTCATTTTGTTTGTTTCGCTTTGTGAGGTTGGGCCGATTTGAGTGTGGATTTGAGGGTCGAAATGAATGAGTAGGTCAGTATAGAATCAGAGTGAATCAGCTCATTCAGAAATATCGATTCATCGTAGATATAGATAGATTTGTTGGTATGCGATGCGATAGCTAGCAACGATGCAGCTTCAACTCCAGATATAGGTACTAGTTGTAGATATAGCTGTAAACAATAGCAATGGTAAGGTAGGTATAGGTATACAAATCAATCAATCAATCAATTATACAAAATAAACCCCAGTCTGGGGGCCCTGCCACACTTATACTCCTCTGTACCATCCCCAGGTCACCCCATGCCCAAATGATAAATCCCAATAAAACAAGTATAGACCCATCGGCAAAATAAAACTCCAACCTTGTCCCCGAGCTCGACCCCGTACCACCGTTTAATTTCGAATTACCTTAGAAAAAGAAACAAAAAAAAACCATGCCGATCACCTGGCCACATGGTTATGTCACCGTCCGAGTCCAGGTCCTGAAACTGTGACTAAATTTCCCCGGAGCTTTGCAATTTAACCGACATTTTGAGTTTGCGTTTTGGGTTTGATTAGATTTTTTTTCGTTTCCCCGGATTTTTCGTCGTGTTCCTGGTCGGTTGGTCGGTTATTAGGGGTCTGGTGGTGTATTAACCGAGACCGAGTGTGAACTTTGGTCGGGCCGGGGTTGCGGAGTCTGGGGTACATACGGTCTACTTTACGAAGTCCTTTACGGAGTACTCACGAAGGTTGTCAGCTGTGGTGTATTGCATGATGGGGATTGATTCTCTGGAGTTTGGGTTTTTATCATGTCTTGTTAATTTTATTTTGGTGAATCGGATGCTAAACTTATGCCTTGTCAATATCTGTAAAGACTATGTTTACTATGTAGAACAATAATCTAATAATTCTAATAATTATATTGACTATGGAGGGAATCCCGGAGAAAAGGAATAACCTCACAGCTCGTACCACACATCAGGTGGTGTTCCCCTTGAGGAAAGAAATAGTGCCTGACGGTCGTGCACAACCATCGAAGATCGCTACTTCTAACGGCCGGTTCCTTGATTCGATCCGCCCGATCTCTCTACTGGTGGAGATAGATTCTGATCTTGCTTTTGTTAATTTTATTTAAGATATTTAACCGAGCACGTGGATTTGGGGTTGGTAGGAACCGTAAATTGGGAGGGGATATTACCCGATTCTGAAGAGGTATGATTATCCGCTTTGAAGAGTTGTGATCTAGATAGCTTTCTCTGAGATGAATGGGCGTAGACAAGGATACCGTAGATAAATCATTATATACCATACTACACATACATATACAGACGTCAATACCCACGTCGGAATCAACTATATACATCACCGGGAGTTCTTTTATGACATCTAGCTGAACACAGCTACACCTGCGCATACGCAGTATGACGACACTGAGCTGCATATCTACTATGTACAGCTGAGTAGATCCTGCGCTGATAGGCCCGGTTCAGAGCCGAGAACCCCATCAACATTGGCGAGCCCTAATTACAAAGCTAGTCCGGTTCCCTTTCGTGTCCATCGGTAGAGGGCCAATACGGCCTTCCGCCGGTGCCGGATTTCGCTGTGATTGACAGGGCGCCCGCGCGCCTGAGCAACGGCACTGCGCATCACCTGCCGGAAGTTTCGCTGATACTCTGTGTTCAGTGTCACGACGCACGATTCCGTGGCGCGGATCATCACTTCACACGCGTTCAGGATGCCTTCGCCCGCTTCCTTCTGCAGGCGTTCGACGATCAGCAGCAGCAAGAAGCTGCCTTGCAGTAATTGGATGCCGAAGAAGTACGGCATAAAGCTAATATCAGGATCGAACCGGAGGATCTGGTCGACCGAGTCGGCGGCGTCCAAGGCGTGGGAAATCGTCGAGGCAAATGCAGGGGAGGACGTCCAGAAATCCTTGTCTTCAATCAAAGAGACCGGGTCCCATTTGCCCACGAGCAGGATATGCAGAACGTGCACCAGGTACGACGCATAGGAGATCACCGTTTGGGTATGCCAGGAATAGGCTTGGGTGAGGGCGGGATCAACCCCATGGTCCGGCTTGGGCGGCGGATATGCATACAAAAGTGGGGCCTCGGGATCCGAGGCAGTGGCCGCAAACGTCGTCAGGCTGGCTTTGTAGATCTCCAGTTGGCGCAAGACTTCGTTGACATGCACATCCCACGCATCTTTCCCATTCAGCCTCACTCCGAGCATCGGATGGTTGCGAGACTGATTCAAGTCAATCAGCTCTCCAGTCATGGTCATCAGGGGGAGAAAAAAGCCGAAGATAGAGTGGTCATGGCAAATGAAATTCGGAAACACGCGGCGTTTATTTTTGTCGCCCGACAGTACGCACTGTGGCCCGTCGGGTCGAGGACTGTTGCTATGGATATTCCCCGACTGCCAGGACCCTTCGTCCAACGGCAGCAGTAGATCTTCGCTTTCCGCGTCCAGTAAGGCCAATGGCCGGTTGTAACATAACGCCAGATGGCGATCCATGATATACAGTAACCACCACGCCCGACGACGCTCCTCGCGGTGCTCTTCGGTGATCGTGTTCTGCGTGTCCTGGCGGTCACAGACACAGTTCAAGCTCGGTCGGGTCGGATTCGAGTAGTCAAAAAAGGGTCGGGGGTCTACCCCGTTCCACCCCGGTAACCCATAATCGAACGATGGGCTCGACCCTTCGGTTTGAGTATCTACATTCGGCAGCACCTCGATCTCTTGGTTCAGCTTGAGCTCACGAGCGAGGGTAAACGCCGCATGCCACCATCGCATGCTGGCCGCTTTTTGCTCGCTCGAGGAGATGATGGACGCGACGTGGATATAGGTTATCACATCATCCAGCGATCCCGCCGGTCCCACCAGGCCCCGATCATCCCCGCCCCCTTCAAACGGATGGTGTACCGTGGTCGGGGGCAGTTCCTGGCCGACCGGCTCACTCAGAGATGCCCCCTGGTCTTTGAAGGACACGTGAATCAACGGTCTCAATAAACGGATCGTGAGGGCGCACAGGAACTGGCAGATATTCTTCCGCTGCTGTGGCGAAATCGACAAGGCAAAGGCTCGGTCATCCAGCGCTGCCACCCATAGCATACTGGCCAACAGTGCCGGAGTGCTGGGGCGCGGCGCATCGCGACTGAGGAAAGAGGCTTTGCGCAAGATATACGAATGGATGTGATGGCACACAGGATGCATTTGGGTCGAGAAAGCGCTGGTGAAATAAAGTTCAAGCAGATCGAACACCAGCCTCCGGGGCAGGTTCGCATCCAAAAACGGCATTAACGGCTGCAGGACCGGATATTTCAGTGAGGTCGGCGGGACGCCCGGCGTCTGGCCCACCACTTTCGCACCTTGCGGCGTGGGACCGCTATTGTTGGACAAATCCACTCCACTCCATACATCGAACATTCGGGGAAACGGTCCCTCCCCCAACCCGCCGCCCAAGAAATCGTATGAGCCCGGAGACACATGGGCTGCTGCCAACCATTCTTCCGTCACATTGCCCCCGGGGGCCAACTTCCGTGGGGGCAATGGCACGTCGGCTTGCGACCGGCGCTCATCAACACTCGGCGCGGATGCGGTCATCTCGTTCGTCCCGGGCGACCGGTGCGGAAAACTGGACGAGGGAGAGCCATTCGGTGCTGGCGTTGCAACTGCATCCGCCGTTGCCGGTGCGGGGATACGTCCATTCGCCTTTTCAGTGCCGCCCTTGGTGCCAGTCTGCTGCGATCGCGCAATGCGACCCCGTTTCCGACGTTCCCGGGTGAATTCGCAATGAATATCACTGCGGAGGCAGCGCGAACAGGGAAAGGCCCGGTCGCATCGCACGCGCCGTGAGTGGCAGGCGTCGCAGGCAATGCGGTTGCGTCTCCATTTCCGCTTGGCGGTGCTATTTTGCAGATCATCGGTGGTCTCTTGTGTATTGCCTTGCGGCGCATCCCCCGACTGGGCTGGGTCCATGTCAGGTAGACATTGGTGGTGGTCGGAGGGTTGCAAGAGGAGAGATTCTTCTGAGGGAGGAGTTAGCATGAGCCAAGACCTGGGGCAGTTGGAAAAGAAAGTACAACGGCCGGACTGCTTCCGGACAAGACGGGATCCAAAGGAAGAGGAAAAGATCAGGCGTATAAGTATCGCATGGGTGGGGAGACTCGAATGACAAGAAAATAATGATCAGAAATCAAATATGATCATATATCGAAGTGACCCGAAAAAAAAAATAAAAATAAAAATAAAAATAAACAGAAAGAAAAAGGAAGACCCGCAAGAACAGGGGCCAAAAGTCGCGCAGTGAAGCTGGAGGCCGGAGGAATCGCGGGGGAAGAACTTAATGAAGGGGACCGACTTGGTCTCCGCACCGACTGGGGTTTTTTTCCCTTTCGTACGCGCTCCACTTCAACCTCGGCGAATTTAAATTGATTGGTCCTTCATCCAAGACATTCGAGTCTTCGCGGTACGAATCTTTCACACGACGAACTCTTGCAAGGAAAAGTCTATTCTGCTGAATGGACCTCCGTTAATATCATTCTGTGGATTACTATCGTCCTTTGGGCAATCGGTGAATCCAAGGTTCAACAACGGCTCTTCCTAGACACTGCCACTAGTCATACTACTCGGAGTATAATAAAGTAGACAAGGGTTCGACTTTAGGTTGACAACCCCTGCGACATTATGTATCTAGGAAGAACCAGTCAGTAGTCTATGCTAGCATACAGGAGCACTTCGATCTCCCCTGAACTGACCAGATTGCTATTTATATTCATAAACTTTGAATGTCTCAGGTGAAAGTACCCCAGATTTCCACTATACTGAAAGATCTAACGATCGGCACATCTCGCTATCGTATGGCTCGCTTGCGGGAAAATGGAGAGAACAGACTCAGGGTGGTCTGTGCACTATGCACTCCATTCAAGTACAACCTTAATCATCTCGTTGATTTGAGACATTTGTCTTTGCGCCGTATGGAACGCGTTCGCAAAATAATAGAAGGTTTAGAAAACATATCGTCAATAATAACGTACGTCGGTCGGCAGAGTGCTTGCGCTTCAGCTGGTCGGAAGCACATTTGAACGTATTTCTCGCTTTATACACTTTCAGTCACAAGGATCATGAGAAAGGCATTGCGGGATACCTTTCCCCAGAATGTATAGACTTAAAAGATCATGCGACTATTGCCTCCTTCAGGAGTGTCATGCTCCCTGAGGAAGGAATAGCATGACGCGTGGATGGGGTCAGAAATGGCTGTGATCATCACAATCAGGTTCTAGCGGTGGGTCTAACAGTGGAAGGATCTGTAGAATGGTACACAAAGTTCGTGTTTGGTTCAAGACCACTCGGTCGTCCCAAGATGTAGTATGGAGGAAGCGGGCTGCCCACAACTTCCACTCAGGGATCGAAGGGAATCAGGTGATCTGGTAATGGCTGAAAATCTATCATCATTGCCGCCACAGAGTATGTGTTGAGCGATATGATGAAAATACAATCGAACTCAGTATGATCGATGCACTCGTGGAACTTTTATCCGCTATCAATCTTCTGTCAAACAGAGTTGATTTACAATCTATATTTGGATGGACACCAAGCAACATACTATATGCACCAGGAGCGTTATCAGATTCAAGATACCGGCTGGTATCCACCCGGTATACGGAATCACCATAAGCTAGGGTGGGGAGGAATCTCTACAGTGTGACTGGCACATGATACAGAATATGCCAGAAACTTACCATGAGGGAAGTCTCGCAATATGACTAAACCCATTCACTCACGAAGGCCCAAACAAAAATCATCTATGTCTTGTATTCGAGCTACTCGGCCTGTCAGTTGATCATATCCTCCACCTGAGCTTACTGTCTGTCAAATGTCAAAGTAGCTTCCAGAAACAATACTTCATTCATGACGCTGCGACGCACGGAGCTAAGTTACACCTCCATTCACAGCTTGTATGTCCTTACGCCGTACAGATAGAAGTTGTACAAAGGCTGATTTACTCTGTAGTTACTTCGGTGATGCAATAAAAAGATGATTTCGAGACTATTGGAAGTGCAGAGATTAAACCCTTAGTCCGCATTGATGGACCGGTTGCACAAGGCTTGCCCAAAGACCCGATAGAGGCGGTAGAATGAGTTGAATAGAGAAAACGACGAGCAATATATGACTCACTCATTATATCATGAAAGCTTTCCAAAAGACGAGCCGTCGAGACTAACTCAACTGGAAACCCGCGGGTGTCTGAGTTAATATTCGGGGAGTGCTTCGATTACGCTATCCACTTTTAGCATACGATTTATAGCATACCCGCCCATATGCCTTGTCAATTTCGGCAGGCTATTATAAACCACTGGAGTCCAGGTTCTGTTCTGGTAGTGAAAGCGGGCGAAATCTCGGTCGATCAAACTGAACTACGAAGAACAATAGTCAATCCTTGTTTTGAATATCCTGGATCTATAACTTTCATCAAGGGGCAATATCGCAAGACCATGAAGACATGAGCAGTATATATCTTCTTTGCTCCAGAACGACAGCCACAGTTACCGTGGAAGGCTTCATCCGATGTAAAAGACTTATATGGACGGATTCTACGGAGTCCTACGAGCTCTGATCGGTAGGGAAATGGGTTGATTCGGGATGAGAAAGCATTCATCTGCCGACATGCATCCTGGTTCGGATCAAATCAGTCTCGATCGGGAGAACATCGGAAACCCCACATCAATGCACGGATTCCTCCCCACACAACGTCATTTTCTGGGGAAACAAGACGGCCCTTCGAAACTCGGCCTGATGATCCCCCGATACACTTTCTTAGGATAGTGTTTGCATTCAATAGGATGTAATTACGCGTATAGTTGCGCCTCGGCCAGCATTCCCCCGACATTCAACCGCCTTTCCCGGAAGACACCTTCGAGGAGAGTATCTCCGGTGATGACCTACGGGCGGGGGTTGCATTTAAAACTTTGCCTAGGGCCAGTATACACGATGGCCAAGATTCGGGAACTCGTTTGCACACTTCAGACGCAATGCGCCTTCCTTGGTCTGCGTGGCTCCTAAGCCCAGCTCTTCTAGCTGTGGCCTGCTATGGCGTGCCTTACAACGAATACATTCTGGCCCCCGCATCACGACATCTCGTTCCCCTTGAAGTTCTCGAGGTCAATGGCTCCGTTACAAACCCCTCCTCTCTGACGCAATCCAGCGGTGGAAATGCTACATTTGATGGGCCAGCCTCTGTCACGTTCGACTTTGGTCGCAACGTAGCCGGCATTGTGTCTCTAGACATTGGGTCCTCATCCACACGCAATGGCTTCATTGGCGTGACTTTCACAGAGTCCAGCTTGTGGATCAGCAGTCAGGCTTGTGATGCCACAGCTGATTCAGGTCTCGACTCACCATTATGGTTCCCTGTCGGTCAAGGACCGGGTACATACACCGCAGAAAAGAAACACAATCGCGGCGCATTCCGGTACATGACCCTGGTCACCAACACAACTGCCGCGATATCTGTCCGCAATGTCCAGATCAACTACACAGCTGCCCCATCTCAGGATCTCCGCGCATACACGGGCTACTTCCACAGTAACGACGAGCTGCTCAACCGCGTCTGGTACGCGGGTGCATACACTAATCAGATTTGTACGATTGATCCAAGTACAGGGAATGCGTTGCCGTTCTTAGGGATCATTAGCTCGGATAGTAACATCACTCTCCCGGACACCACCCCTTGGTACAGCAACTACACTATCTCCAACGGCAGCAGCACACTTACAGACGGTGCGAAACGGGACCGTCTGATCTGGCCGGGCGACATGTCAATTGCACTGGAAAGCGTTTCCGTGAGCACGTCGGACTTGTACAGTGTGCGCACCGCCCTAGAGACTCTGCTTTCTCAACAAAAACCAGACGGCCGTCTACCCTACGCCAGCAAGCCGTTCATTGATATTGTGAGCTTCACCTACCATCTCCACAGCCTCGTTGGCGTATCTTACTACTACCGGCATTCGGGCGACCGAGCTTGGCTATCTCAGTATTGGGGTCAATACCAGAAAGGTCTGCAATGGGCACTTTCCAGCGTGGATGACACTGGACTTGCCAACGTCACTGCCAGCTCTGACTGGTTACGATTCGGAATGGGAGGCCATGTAAGCACTCTGTTCTCATCAAGCGATATCCAGAGAGCTAACCCAAGCAGAACATCGAAGCGAATGCCATTCTCTATTTCGTCCTCAACGAAGCCCAAGAACTGTCCCAAGCCATCAGCAACCATACCAATGCCAACTGGACCAAAATAGCCAGCGGTATCAAATCCGCCGCCAACAAGAATCTTTGGGACGCCAGCAACGGTTTATACAAAGACAACGAAACAACCACACTCCACCCACAAGACGGCAACGCATGGGCCATCAAGGCCAACCTCACCCTCTCCGCCAACCAAAGCAGCACCATCTCCTCCGCCCTGAGCTCTCGCTGGGGCAAGTACGGCGCACCAGCCCCCGAGGCCGCAGATGCCGTATCTCCTTTCATCGGCGGCTTTGAATTACAGGCCCACTTCCTCGCAAACCAACCCCAGAAAGCGCTCGACTTGATCCGCCTTCAGTGGGGCTTTATGCTAGATGATCCCCGTATGACGAACTCGACTTTCATTGAGGGCTATTCGACCGACGGGTCTCTCCACTATGCTCCATATACTAACGACGCCCGTGTATCGCATGCTCATGGTTGGTCAACCGGCCCCACGGCGGCGCTCAGTTTCTTCGCGGCTGGACTGCATCTTACAGGTCCTGCTGGGGCGACGTGGAGGTTCGCCCCGCAGCCTGGTGATTTGACAAGTGTGGATGCGGGATACACGACCGCTTTGGGGCTTTTTTCAACGACGTTCAAGAGATCGGAAAATGGAGATTATCAGGGGTTGACCTTCACTACTCCGCAAGGTACGACAGGTGATGTAGACCTGGCGGGTGTCGAAGGAACATTGGTTTCGACGGATGGCGAGCGTATTTCTCTAGTGAAAGGAACTGCAACAGGCATTGCTGGAGGCTCATGGGAGTTGGAGGTTGCAAGTCAATAGAACGAGATCAACTTGACATACACCATTCCAAGAAAAAGCAGAAATATTACTCCATTACATCACTTTGTGAGAAAGTTACTGTAGCCTGTGCCTCTCAAGTCCGTTTCAATGTAAAGCACAGATATCTACCGAGGCCAAGCAAGTGGCGACCACACCACTGCATAAATCAAAGTATCTAAAGTTAACCATATAATTTTATCTATGAATATCTATGTAGTAATGTATAACCCATATAAAAACGCCGAACCATGCCATCTTCGCAAGACCTCATGAATCATTAAGCAGAAGCACAGTGACCACCATCGACCCTCAAGTCCGTTCCAGTCATCCAGCCGCTGCCATCAGCGAGCATGTAAACTGTGGGCGCCTTGAAGTCCTCGGGAACACCCAAGCGGCCGAGCAGGGCACCACGCATCCAAGTCTCCTCGACCTCCGGCTTTTCCTTGAGGAGCGCATCGGTCATAGCAGTACGGATGTACTGGGTGTTCAATTAGCAATTACGAGCCAGAACGACAGCCAAAGTAGAAAGTAAGACTTACACCAGCAGACAGCGTGTTCACACGAATACCGTACTGGCCCCATTCCTGAGCCACAGAGCGACACATCTGGTGAACGGCCGCCTTGGACGAGTTGTAGGCGGTACATGTCAGGCCGCGGTTGGCGATCTGGCCCGACATCGAAGCGATCATCACGATACTTCCGGGGGTGTTCTGCTCCTTGAAGATGCGTGCGCAGTGCTTGGCCGGGATGAAGGTTCCGATGACGCTGCGCAGAATCAATCAGTATGTAAGTAACTTTGTGTTTGTCTAAATAAAGGCTTACTTGACATCCAGCATCTTCCTCCATCCGTCGATCGGGTAGTCCAGCGCCGGCACCATCTGCTGAATTCCCGCGCAGGTGATCGCGCCCCGCAAGGGCATGTTCCGCTTCAGACCCTCGGCAGCGATCTTCTCAAGCGCGTCCTTCGTCAGCTCCTCGTTGGTGATGTCACACTGCGTGTATGTGGCTTGCAGTCCACGCGCGGAAGCCAGCTTCTGCACGGTGGCCCATTCCTCGGCGCTGGGCGTGGGCAGGAGGTCCAGACATGCGACATCTCCGCCGGCTTCGAGGACGGCTGCTGCAAGGACGATTCCGAGTCCGCGACCGCCGCCGGTGATCACGACCGTGCGGTTGCTGAGAGAGAAGAGGTCGCCGGTGCGAGCCACGGCGGGATTCTGGATAGATTCCGGGGCGACGGCTGTCGTGTTCTCGGGGACTGCGGAGGGGGCCATTTTGGTGTTGTGACTGTGTTTGAGAGATTATTGTGTCTGGAAGAGCAGGAGCGAGTGGTTGGAAAATTGGGGGACTCATATATATGTTTGTGATGCTGGGCTCTGGGGCGCTTATCCACGACTAAACTAGTAGGACGGCCGATTCAAGCATGGAGAGCTGCATGTTTCATAGTATTGCTTGGGGATGCTTATCCACATAAGTCCACATGAGTTCTTTGGTCGGCCAACCGAAGATCAGGCACGCTGCTCATGGTGGACGCAGTACTACCCCGACCGATGGTTGTGTTTACCCATGGGGGTTATCCCAGTAGAGGGCGCCTATTTGATCCGAAAAGGGTAATATGGGGGAAGTCCGGGGGGTGGCGTGTGGGTCCATTCTGCAAGCGCTAATGACTGCTCTTTTAGGAAATCGGGCCGTGGTACCGAAGTGTCGGCTGGAGCCCACCCCGGAAGTTGACCGGCACCGGGATCAGGTACTGTTGCCAGGTACCCCGGTATCTCGACCCTCTTCGGTGGGAATTAGCCCCCATGGGAAATTCAATGGTCTGAGCACTATTAATGCATCGGGGGCTTCTTCACTCGGACATCTTAAACAAGGGGCTGATAGTTAAGATTGTAGATTGCAGAAGCGCAACAGTGATAGGGCTGAAGTGTACAAGTTAGGGAAGAACTCTACGGAAGTTTAAATGCTGCGCCATTTTCCTTGTTACGCCTCCAAGAACCTTCCCCGGGGCCCCGCAATTCGCAGGCTGTTGGCACGAAAACACACGGAAAAGTTTAAGTTATGACGTCCGAATTTTTTCCGGGGTAGAACAATATATAAAAGTAGAAGTAGTCCCATGAACTTGGTTGTTTCTCCGCGGTAAACACACATAGGTCAAGACGAGAATTAGACCGGCGGCCATAATGACTTTTCTTGTTGGAAAGCCGCTGACGATGGCCATTACGGCCACTGCTGGCAGTGGCTTCCTTCTGTGAGACTACGTTTATGCCCTCAGATTACGATGTATTTACTGACTGAACAGTTTCGGTTATGACCAAGGTGTCATGTCAGGTCTCTTGTCGGGAGATGCATTCGTTCACACATTTCCCGAGATTGACACCACCACTGGTGGCACTGGTAGCTCGACTTTGCAAGGAACTGTGTAAGTTTCACCAGTACTATCCTTTGGCTAGGGCTAACAAAGTATCAGTGTCGCCATCTATGAGATTGTAAGTCACCCTCGCCTTCCTCTAGGCTAGGTCTGACTGTCATAGGGTTGTTTCCTGGGTGCCATTATGGCCCTGGTTTGGGGTGAGAATGTTGGACGTCGCATGTGTATCATGGCTGGCTGTGTCATCCTCTCAATCGGTGCTGCCCTACAGGCCACTGCTTACGGTATCCCCCATATGATCGTGGGTCGAATTGTAGCAGGTGTTGGAAACGGACTCAACACTAGTACCATCCGTACGTACTTTCCCTGTGGCCTTCGTGTGCGGTGGACCAGCTAACGTTCAATAGCGGTTTGGCATTCCGAACTGAGTAAGCCTGAGAGCCGCGGGAAAGGGGTAGGTCTCCACCTTCAGCGTAGCTCGTCTTATACTGACGTGTTATAGCTCGCTATTGAATTGTGTATCAATATTTTCGGTGTTATGACTGCGTACTGGGTCGGTAAGTTCAGGGTTATGCTCCGTTCCCCTTTTCTCTTTCTCTCGGCAACCTCTGACAAAAACAGACTATGGCATGAGCTACGTCAAGAACGACGCCCAATTTCGATTCCCCCTTGCCCTTCAGATTCTCTTCGCTATCCTTACTTTTATTGGCATCCTTGCCTTGCCCGAGTCACCTCGTTGGGTAAGTTGCCCCTCGTCTATCAATGATTTCTTAACTAACAACCCAGCTTATTGCCCATGGCCGAGAAAGCGACGCCCGCCGTATCATTTGGTCTCTCCAACCTAATGCCCGCAACATCGGGGAGGACGACGCAGTCGTTAATCAAGATATTGCCGAAATTACACAAGCTATCCGGGAGGAACAATCCGCTACAGAAGAGAGCTCTTTCATGATGGTGTTCAAGAACGGTCCTCAGAAGTTTCTGTACCGGACACTCTTGGGTATGGGCGGACAGATGATGCAACAGTTGTCCGGTGTGAACCTGATCACATATGTGAGTAGCTGTCCATGTCTGGAGAACTTACGGTCTAATGCAAGCAGTACAATACCGTTATCTTCGAAAAGTCTGTCGGTATGACCCATAACTTGGCGCTGCTGTTGGCAGGCTTCAATGGCGTGGCGTACTTTGTGTCCACTCTGGTCCCTATCTGGACAATTGATCGGTACGTTGAGTACTATTCCTCTGTATGAAAAACAGAACTAATTTTGCAGGCTCGGTCGACGGAAGCTGATGCTTTTCGCTGTGGTTGGACAAGGGGCGTGCATGGCTATTCTGGCCGGCACAGTGGCGGACGGTGGCCATGCCGCTGGTCTGGTAGCCACCGTGATGCTATTCCTTTTCAACTTCTTCTTTGGGGTGGGATTACTTGCCATTCCATGGCTCTGTATGTTTATCTTTCATTATCCAGATCCGATTCAGCATACTAATCATCGGCAGTGCCTGCGGAATACTCCCCGTTGGCTACTCGTACCCGATCCGCAGCATTGGCTACGGCAACCAACTGTACGTTTATCCCAGTTATCTGCGATGTGTCACGCTAATGAGTCCAGGGATCTTCACTTTCTTGGTAGTGGAAATCACCCCGGTCAGCATTGACAACGTTGGGTATCGCACGTATATCTACTTTGCAGGTATGTACTACGCATCTGTATACACTACTAGTTGCTAACAGTAGCAGTGTTCAACTTCTGCTTCATCCCTCTGATTTACTTCTTCTACCCTGAGACGCGCAACCTCACCCTGGAACAAATCGACCACTTGTTCACTGGCGAGAAGGTGAAGCTTCATTGGCACGCATCGATGGGAACTGCCGGCGACGCCGAGCGTCGTCTGGGAGAGAAGGACCCAGAGCTTGCTGGTGTCCAGCATGTCGAATAGATTATTTAGTTTTCTTTTCTGTTACGGGGTGTCGCAGAGCTTAAGCTCAGCGGTGCTATGAGTTAGTGTACAATAATGGGTTGTCTCCATGTCTTCATTTTTATGTATATTCTTAATAAATACTACACTGCCAGACATAAGACAAGACATATCAAGTATCTCTGCTGCAATATCCGTACCCTAGAGCCTTAAAATCTCCAACAAATTCCACCTGCATCCAACTGAACCCTAATAGTTTCAGGTCATTAGTCTTAAGTCTCGCTCAAGACATGAACCACGGCTCTGCAGCACCGAACCTGCATCCCTGGTTCTACGTAACCTACTCCATCGTACGATAACCGGATAAATAAATAAGAATGAAATTTGGGACGACCCACCGCAGAGATTCCAGAGGCCATCTCCGTGTTTTCCCCACATTTGATCAAACCCGGTGGCGGTTATCGGTTCCCGATCCGGTAATCCGCCCGACACGCTGTCGACGACCCCAAACTTACTTTTTCAGGTAATTATAGACTTTCGATTCCGTTCCCCGTATCATAAGGGTAGTTAGTTCTTCAATCACCTCAATCACCATGACCGCCATGCCTCAGGACACGGACTCCTTGCGTCATGCTCCCCGGAAGCGTACACGCACCGGCTGTATCAACTGCAGTAGACGCAGACGAAAATGTGGGGCAATCCCCCGGAATTTAGTACTTTTCCAGAAGCTCACAATAGCCTAGGTGACGAGTCCAAACCAACATGCACCGGCTGCAGACGGCGCGGCGAGAAGTGCCAATGGCGTGTACTAGGCTCCTTCCGGGAGGCCAATATCAAAGTCCTCGAGCCCGGCCATCCGTCCATGAACCAATCGGTTGGTCGGAATAGTCGGCAGAGTAAATTCAAGGTGGGTTGCTGCTGCAAGGAAAGCCGTCCCTGTCTGACCGAGTAGATATTGAATGTCGACCCTCCTTCGGCCCGAAAAGAGCGTGCTCGTAAAGAGCAGTCGATGCCCGAGAGGGCACCATCCCCTCAACCCCAGCAGGAGGAGGCATCTGCGCCTTCGCCGCTACCTGTTACTTATCCGGATCAGGCTCAGGCTCAATTACCTCAGGCTGACTTCAGTCATTGCGATGATCCGGGTCTTTCCCCGTCGCTGTCGAGTAATGCTTCCTTTTACCCGGCTGCGGAGGTCCGCAACCATGAACGCGATGGTGGCCGCAACGATGAGGCGACTAACGATCTTCCCAATCATATTACCCATAACACTTCACCTAACCACCCCTATATGCATTCCAGTCCTGAATTTGTTATAGATGAGCTCGCTGCATTACGGAATTTCTCCAACCATGCAGCATCCTTCCCTCAAACTGCCCAGGAGCCTTACCAAGCCATTGCCTCACCTCTCTTTGATCACAGCGTCTTCTCCGATCCAGTCAACTTCACTAATGATGTCTTTCTGCCTGGATCCGCCTATGAGGCGCTTCACACTACGCTGCGGAACCGCCAGCTCTGGACTGCCCGGCCGGACATCCCCAGTCGGTGCAGCTCGCCAGCGTCAGTTCCAGAGTCCGGGGCAGTGACTCCCAATGAGCTACATCCGAGTCAAGTAAACCAGTACTCGAGACCAAGACGCCCGTTTGAACTGTCACCAGCTCGGGAAAATGTGTTGTGGCAGAACTATCTCAATGAAATTTGTCTATGGGTGTGTAGTTGTCCCCACGTCGCTGTATCTACCTCTTACTGACCGAGCAGCTTGACATGTTCGACAACCATCGTCACTTTGCCTCGACCTACCCTCAAATGGCCAAGTCAGTGCCACATCTTCGCTATTCTATCCTGGCCCTATCCGCCCGCCAGATCGAGCGGAAGCAAAACCAGAAGTCCCAGTCCGAAAGTCTTTCCTTGTACCAGGAGGCAATCCATCTCCTCCTCCCGGAGCTAGAAAGCAAGACGACACCAGTGATAGCGTCCTGTGTGATTCTATGTGTATTGGAAATGCTAAGCTGTACGCTTGTCTACCCTTCTCAATCCGACACACCTAACATCCGACAGGCAATCCCAAAGAATGGCGCCGCCATCTAGACGGCTGCGCATATCTAATCCAAGCAGCCGAGATCAACGGATTCTCCGGGAAAGAAGAACAAGCCCTCTTCTGGTGCTTCGCGCGAATGGGTAATTATACCCCGCTCTCATGCAACAAGCATTGTTTCTAATAGATCAGACGTCTGCGGCGGCCTCATCTCCGAGGAAGAGACCATCATCCCCATCCACCACTGGATCCCCAAGGACATGAGCCCGGCCGAAGCCTCCCAGCACTTCCTCGCCTCCAACATATCCGCCTTCGACACCTACGCAAACTACACCGTCTACCTCTGCGCCCAGACCCTCGGCGTTCTCTTCAACCCCTCCTCCCAACTCCCGCCATCCTGTGTATCGTGTCGATACCTCGGCAGTCCTGACGATCGAGACACGTACGTGCACCGCTGGACACGTCTTTTCGACAGCGTCGAAGAGTGGTACGATAACCGGCCGAGCCAGATGAAGTCGATCTTCGTCATACCGGCTTCAGCGGGGCCGAGGCCGTTTCCGACGGTTCTGTATGGGAATGGAGCTGCTAGTAGGTTTTTTTTTTTTTTTTTTTTCTTCTTCTTCTTCTTTCTTTTGAGTCCATTTCTCTCGCTCGCTTATATACTGACGCGGCTAGTCTCTGGCAATCAATTGTATCATACGTGTGCGTTACTGTTGCTTCAGCGCAAGCCGAAGACTCTTTCTCTCTCCCGACGACCGGTATGTTCCTGTTCTCTTGAAGACTTGGTTCAAAGTCACGCTAATACAACTCTAGAAATCCGTCCTCTGGCATGCTAGACAGATCTGTGCGATCTCCGCTTCGAACACTCACCAGTAAGTTTTATTGCGCTCATTCCAGTCGAAAGAGTACTAAGCTCTATATCAGCGGCTGCTGGACAAACGCCCTACAACCCCTCTGGCTAGCCGGCAAAGCCATGTCACATCACTCCGAGCACACAGCCATCATCGAAACATTGACGCGTGTCGAGCGCGAGACCGGTTGGGCGACAGCATGGAGAGTCGAGGATCTAAAAGACTTCTGGGGCGAAGACGACGACATGGACGAGATGGAGCCGATGCGGGTCGACGTGGAGGGGGATGTGAGTCTGCAGACGCCGCGGAGTATCCGGAGCCCATTAGAAGTATAATTAGAGACGCATGACGCTGTTGATGACGAGAGAGATTCATGACATGGTTGCATTATGCTAGAACATCAATCCTAACCTCTTAAAAAATACAAATTACATCGCAAAAACAGACATCACGAAGCCTCTTTGAATTCATACGCATTCTGTCCAAATGCCGCCTTCGCACCCGCTAGAATAGCGTGCGGATTAATCCTCGACGGGAACAACTCCTGCATCCTGCGATAGAGCTCCTCAGGGCTCGACGCCGTCGAAGCCGCGTCCTCAAACGCAAGGATATATCGTCTCGTACTCTCGATATTAAACACGCCATCCACCGTCCCTGCCCTCTTATGCCCCGCAACCACAGTATGGGGCTCTAATGCCTCGATCGTATCCAACGCCCTCAGCCATTCCCGGCGTTTGCTCGTCGTATCCGCCTCCCCGAAGAACTGGTGCACATCGCCATACACCACGTCACCCGCCACGACGAGACGCAGATCAGGAACCCACAGAACCGTTGAGTCATGGGTGTCCGTGTGTCCCACGTCAATGATCCGGAATACATGATCTTCCATCGTGAAGGTAGTAGACGGCCACGGTTCGGCCGTCTTCTGCGGCTGATAGATCTGGGCCGGGAAGAAGCGCGTCCAGATATTGACGAACTTGTCTGGTTCAAGCTGGCCTTGCGAATGTGTCACTGTTGCTGGTGTGGCGATTGCGCGCGCGGATGGCCATCGCTGTAGGAGCACCGGGATCCCGAACCAGTGGTCGCCGTGCCCGTGCGTGATGTAGATGTATTTAAGGGTTTTTCCGGGTGCAGTGGCTTCGATCCAGTGGATTAGTTCTTCGGTCTGGGTGATCGAGATCGGGGTGTCGACTAGGACAGCCTCGTTGGTGCCGTGGATGAGGGTGCAGGAGATTGGGGAGAAGGCGCTTGTTTGCCCTTCTCGCTGGATGGCCATGGGCAGACGGGAGGAGACCCATACGTCGGCTCGGAGGTGTGAACTCATTGTATTGGAAGGAGATGTCGGGGTGGGGTTGGTGTCTGTGTCGTATTATTCCTGGTGGCCTCGGGTCGTTGTTAAATAGACTGTCTACAGACGGGGCAGTGAGGTCAAATGCCATGGCCGGTAGGGAACCCTCGGTAGGCTTCTTCCGAATTTATTGGATTTGTCAAATTAAGTAGACTCTCTCTTCTCATATCAATGTTTTTCACCTCGGCGATTGTGCTGTGTCCCCGCGATGGATTGGATATAGGCGGGGAGTATCAGTAATCCCGGAAATGAACTACCGAATGATAAACTGTACTGAGTCTACAGCATATGCCTGCCCTACAACTACTATATATATCCCATGGCTTATACAGAACATTAAACCCGAGACTTATCTCCCAAGAGAATCACACTATCTCATTCATACCCCTCCACATAAGTTATAACCAAAACCCATTCAAACAAACAAACACGAACAATGCCCCGCTGGACCTTCTACCTATCCCCCAGCACCCTCACACAGGATGAAAAAAGCACCATCGCCAGAAAAGTAACAGACCTGTACATCAGCTTCGGCATCCCCGCCTTCTGGGTGAACGTCTTCTTCCACGAGACCGGCGAGGGCAATTTCTACAGCGGGGGTGAATACCCCCCGAACGCCGTGTTCTTCCACATGGATCACGCGGCCAGCAAGATCGATTCTGAGGATCTGCGAGATGAGTTCATTCGGAAGGTCAATGATATCGTGGGGCCCATTCTGGATCCGAAGGGCGTGAAATGGGAGTATAATATCTATGAGCATCCGAGAGATAACTGGAGGATTAATGGCATGATTCCGCCGATGGAGTATCCGGAGGTTTTGAGGGAGTGGAGGGAGCGGAATGCGCCGGTTAAGTATGAGGGGGCGTATAGATGATCCCGTCTCTTTCTTTTGTTTCCTTTTTTGCTCGCTTTTTTGGGGGGGGGTTTGGGGGGGGTTGTTTACTAGGCTTATTGTTCTGTATCGTGGGGACGTTGAGGGATGAAGCATGAGATGTTTGTAACTAGAGACCCAAGGATAACTTGAGAATGCCTTTACCGCAATTGATATGGACTGCGGACCTCCACTTAGTCTAATGGGGGGTGCAATAAATGAGTGGAAGTATATAAGTGAATTGCAAACGGCGGCAAAGTATGAGGCGACCTCTGCTATATGTCTTCGAGATCGAATTCTATATTATCTTGATATGGCTTTGCCAGTCACTCTGATATTTCGCTGCTAGGAGTGTATAAGGATATTTTCTCTGTTCATGGAATATCTACCAGGCGTAGTTTACATCTACGCCTTTCATGACCGTTCAATCATAGCACCCCTCTGAATCTCCACCATTACTTGTACAACTGATGCATTCTGCAATTCTAAATCAGTATCATGCAAGCTACCGATAGGGTAGAAAACCTCGAGTACAAGGGAAAGAAGAAAGAAAAGTCCCCAGAAGTCTTCTCCAACACAGACTACACTTGAACATGCAAGTTGTCAGGGAACAATCTCTTAGCACATGTTGACGCGACTTCAAAGTTGTCGGCAATGTATCTGGTTATAGAAACTAGCCGTGGCTGTGTAAAGCTCAACTCGGTTCCTGATTTAATTACCCAACTCTCAACCAGAATCATTGCTCCTTAGAACCGAGTTTCATAATTCTGATAAGTATTTGTTGTATTGGATCGACTGAATCTGCAACGGTCCGAAACTGGTGCGGGTCCGATCTCGGCTCCGATCCGCACTGCGGGTTCGGTGCAGATTTTGAAACCCTAGACTTTAGCCTGAGCACTCGATGTATACTTAAGACGATGAGCTCAACAGTATATAACCTCTTAAAGAAGAGCTACGTATATTGAAGCATGTAGAATTAGAAGAGAGTTGGGTATAGTGCTCAGACTTGCGTACAAGCTCGTTTATCCGTGTGACGCCTAGGGGGGTATGAAAAGAGCCGGAGGGTATCCTGATATGGAGAACATCGGGATGTCTGATGTGCGCTATACTTCATGATCTTGGGTCATGCATCAGAAAACAATTATTGTCTAGACCCATTTCTCGCGCAGCAAATCGGGCGCTGGAAAGGGAGGAATGGGAGGAATGGGGCTGCCCTTGCGGGCGAGCAGACAAGTCCAGAACTGGTGTCTTGAGCGATATACTCCGTAGGGCGAAGATGTCCATTTCCACGACTTATTTTAAGTACACCTGGACAGAAGGACAACTGCCTTTTGCGGTACTAGGGCAAAACACGACAAGTTTTCGAGCATTCGACAGGATACCTGTCAGGGGCAATCAAGGGATAAAAGCTCGTTCCACTTTTCGGCGACCCCTGAACCATAGCCGGGACGAATGTCTGTTGCCCTTCATTCTTCTACTTTTTTTTGTCCCGACATTCCTGGACTGACCATGGTTGAGACGAGACATTCCTTTCCGACGCGACTCCTTGGCGTGACGTGCAACTCATTCCCATCGTTGCCATGGAGGGTCTGGGAAGTATTCTCGCTAACGTGGCCTTGTTGATGTTCGAGATTCGTAATGTTATTGATATACTGGTCGCTATGAGGTAATTGGGGTCGTATTCGTTTCTACGTTGGGGTTTGGGGCACGAAAGAAGAATAGGAGAAGTGGGCGAGGGAATTAGACTATTGGCAACGTTCTGCCAAGGCGCCTAGTAGCGAGCTTAAGTAATGGCGCAATTGCTCACTTAACTTTTCTCGCCTCTGCCCTGGAGTGTGGCTCAATGCGGTAAAATTGGCGCTTCGATGCCATGGTGAGAATGGCGGCTGCCTAAATAATGGTTTATTCTGGTACGGTAATCCTGCGTGGTGATGGAGAGGACCGGTGGTTGGAGGAAAATCAGTTTGAATACTTCCTCTGGTTGATATAGGGGTCAGCTCGGTTAATAAAGAGATCCGGGAACACATAAGGGTGTGAAAAAAAAAAAAAAAAAAAAAAAAAAAAAAAAAAAAAAAAAAAAAAAAAAAAAAAAAAAAAAAAAAAATTAAATCGAGAGGTTAAGAAATAAGTTTTTCAAAGATAAAGTGATGTTTAAGTGGGAGCGACATAATATCACATTGTGTGGTTGTATGGATATATATGAAGCAATGTAAGATATATAATGATCAACCGGATATATATTCCCAATATTGCAGTACTAATAACCAGTGGGGATCTGCCCTACGTAGAAAGGAATCCACTTGGTATTGTTGGCTGTACTTACAATAGGTATTTGATATGTAATAACAAACCATTGTTGTTGCGTAATGCACTCAATGCACTCAGTCCACTCGCAGACTCCAGGTGAGATGAGCGAGGGTTGAGATACAGATCACACCCCCCCACAAACTGTGGCGCATGCTGTCAAATAAGAGAACATGCGCCACACCATCCTAACCCCGATCAAGACTAGTGCACAGCGTATATTGCCTGGGCAATCTCAGATCCACCCCTGATTGGCCCCAGGGGGAGATGAGGAATGGATTTCCCCTGGAAATAGTAACGAAAATGCATGGCTTGAAACCAACGGGACCACGCTGGCAGGTGGATAATAACTTCCCATCGCCAGCAGATGAATTAATCTTGGACAAATCCTGACGTCGACTCCTTTTTCCTGAATTCATCCCAAGTAGAACCCAATACTCCAAAAGGAAGTCGTCATCGGCCCTTCCCAAGATGGACTGAGGGCTGAAACGGCGGAAGTTTATTGTTTCACTCTTTATTACTGCGCTGTGTCGCTCCTTATTTTGGTTTCGTCTTTTCTGGGAAGGATTTGCAGGGTGAACCTCCTACGACTGCCCTGGCCAACCCTCTTGTATACAACCGGTCCCGACACATCTGTGTTCGCAAACAATCCTGAAAGATGGCGCCGTCCGCACTCGCTGCCCTCGGGCGTGTCACATCCCCAAAAGGCTTCAAGGGCGGCCCAGAAGCCGAAGCTCTCGTGTCGCCTCCCAGCCCCGCGGTTCCAGATTACGATCCTACAATTAATGCAAAGCCCTACTCACCTTTTTATCGCCATGCGACGCAAAACTTCACCGGACAGACCCCGAATGCCGCTCTGAAAGTACCCAACGCCGATGACCTGGAAACCGGCGCCAGTGCATATCGACCATCCGGGGAGTCGGACAATCGCCGCAGTTCGAAACTCTGGACGGAGAAGAAGAGACATTGTGACTGGCTCAGGGCATTGCCGAAGAAGCAAAGAATAGCCGTGAAGGCGGTCATTGCCATTGTCATCGTGGGGACAATGGTGGCTATTGCCCTGGGCATTACGGCGGCCGTTGGGGGAGGAGTGTGGAAGTCGAACCACCAACAGGGGGCTATTGGATCCTGAGTGCGTATGTTCTTTGACGATGAGCGACGCGGCCAGGTCTGACTCGGTTTCTAGTGCTTCGAACAGGTTTTTTTCTTTGACAACTGCTTACGAATTCCATATTCTTCACTTCTCCCCATGCACGCTGGGGTAGCTATTCTGCGAAAGACTTCCGGCAGAGTGGACCGGACGAACAAGGGGCGACAACAGAAGGAAAAGGGATGGCAGAATACCCCGAACGGGCGTGCGACGGGGATTACCGTGTAACTATATGTCGCTTGATCGGCCCAGGCAATGGTCCAGACGCGTGGACTTCGACCGTGATAGTGACATTTCCTTCATGTGAGAGAGAATTAGTCGATGACAGCCAAGAAATAAGATCATTCGTATTCTTAACTCTGAACAAAACTGGGAGTGGGCCTGTGGCCTGGCTCGGCTACCATCCGTAGATCGGTGCCTGATCGCCTAGATAGGGTGCCTGGCGGCGGAAGAACGTCGGCCCACAACACGTGACCCACAGGTGCTACAAAAAGGCCGATCACGAGCATTCCTTTGGGATTTTTTTTCTTCTTTTTCTTCATTACATCGAAAAGCTTTAACAGAACCTGCCACGACCGTCGTCCAGTCTTTATCCCACGGCGACGTGTTGCCTTCGGTCTACGGACTGATTGGTTCTGGAGAACAAAAACTCCTCGATAGGAAGTTTGCCTTTCGTTGGGTCCTCTTCAGTGAGGGCGATGAGGGGTGAATGTCGATGACGGGATACATATCGACTTGGAAAATATCTGTGATGTCCACAAGTCCACTTAGCTGCAATATGAACATGTTACTGGAGAGAGACCTTTCAGCAACGCCTGCTGTAGAATAGACCGTAGTTCGTAGAAAAAGAATTGTTTTGGCGCCACATGCGGGCGGAATGTGGTGTCAGGTGCTTGCAGTCACGTTGACAAAAAGTGACTGTCAAAGGTTTCTGCAGATACCATCGTCCACGTCCTTGATTGCGTCAAAAGGGCCCGGATTTCCGCAAGGTCAATGCTTTGCGATCCTCTCCTTTTTACAGGACCAACGCGACGCGAATCCTGCTCGACGACTCGAACAGGGGCAGGGGCCAGATGACGGTGGAGGCAGGGGTCTCCTACAAACAAGGTGTGCAGAGCATACCGGTCCCTTCAAAGCCACGAAGTGAGGAATGCTCGACCGGGCAATTCGATCAAGCCTGGACGTAACAAGATGTGAAAAACAAGGCTTAGGCCCAGCAAGGCCCATTCTTTGGGGGCATTCTCAGCTGGACAACAGTCACTCGGTGTTTGTTTGTGGCGCTCAAGGGGAGACCGACATACCAAGTGGTCGGAGGATGGGTTCATGTTATTGGGATGATAAAAAGGTCAACCTTGTCCAGCCCTCGTGCAGGAGGAATCGAGACGTCCCAAGGCCTAATCAGAAGTCTTTCTTTCAGTTACTTTCCTTAATTAATATTTATCGAGGCTGTGCCTGTTCAGTCCGTTGTCGCTCTTTTAGAATTAGTGGACGCCGAAAGGAATAATAACGCAAGCAAGATGAAGGGACTTCAGAATGGTATTCCCATCGCGATGCTGGCTGCGATGGCCAGTGCCCAGGGGCTCGGTGGACGCCCCAAGGTTGATACCGGCAACGGTGTGGGAGTAGGCTTCAGTAACCACTTCTCCAACGAGGTGAACAACTTCAACAAGGACGACCACTCTGCCGATGTGCACACCGAGACCAACATTATCAAGGCCCCACCCCACCCTCACGGTGGTCAACATGGCCCGGAACATGGTGGCCACGATGGTCACGGAGAAGGGGAGGGAGCACACGGACACCAAAAGCGCGGCGG